TTCACACAGATGATCTTTTAAAATGATACAAATTTGGTCAAAGAACTATATGTTTATTTTTTTAAATAAAAAAATTTCGGGAGTTGTATCAAATAAAAGAAACACGTGGTAGATATAATCACACTCACTGATCCACGTATTCACTCACTCATTCATTACATCACTTATTCATTAACTCACTCACGCACTCACCCATCAACTCACTCACTTACTTACCCTTTCACTCCCTCAGTCACTCACTCACCCACCAACTCAGTCACTAATTCACCCAATCACTCATTCATTCACTCATTACATCACCCAGTCCTTAATTTACTCACTCATTACATCACTTACTCATTAAATCACTCACCCACCCGCTCACTCCCCCACCCTCTCACTCACCGACCCACTCATTCACTTACACACGCACATACCCAATCACTCACTCACTCATTCATTAACTCACTCATTAACTTACCCACTCATTACATAACTTAGTCATTGACTCACTTACTCATTAACTCACGTACTCATTAACTCATTCACTAATTATATCACTCACTCATTATTACTCATCTAATATATTTCTCACTCATAACATCACTTACTCATTAACGCACTCTCTCATTACATCACTCACTCAATCACTCAATCAATCGATCAATAGATCATTCAATTTTTCACTCACTTCATCACTTAGTCATCAATTTACTCATTCATTTCATCACTCACTCACTGACTCACTCACTAACTCACTCACGAACTCATTCAATCACTCACTCACTCACTCACTCACTCACTCACTCACTCACTCACTCACTCACTCACTCACACACTCACTCACTCACTCACTCACTCACTCACTCACTCACTCACTCACCCATTCAATCACCCACTCAATCACTCACTCAATCACTCACTCAATCACCCACTCACTCATCCACTCACTCACTCACTCACTCACCCATCACTCACTCACTAAGTCCATCACTCACTCACTCACTCACTCACCCATCACTCACTCACTAAGTCAATCACTCACTCACTCGCTCACTCACTCACTCACTCACTCACTCACTCACTCACTCACCCACTCATCCACTCACTCACTACGTTACTTACTGATTAACTCACTTACTCACTCACTCACTCACCGACCCACCCACTCACTCATTCACCCACTAACTCACTCTCACTCTCCGACCCACCCACTCACTCACTCACCCACCAACTCACTCTCACTCACTCACCCACCCACTTACTCACGTTCTCACTCCCTCACTCGCCCACTCACTCATTCACTCTCACACGCACACACTCAATAATTCACTCAATCAATCAATCGATCAATTGATCACTTAATCACTCCTCATTCATTCATTCAATCATTTTCTCATTACATAACTTCCTCATTACACAACTCACTCGCTCATTAACTTCGCCACTCATTACATAACTCACTGATTAACTCACTCACTCATTACATCACTCACTTACTCAGTTACTCACTCACTCATTATCTCGCCCACTCATCCACTCACTCACTCACCGACCCACCCACTCACTCATTCACCCACCAACTCACTCTCTCACTCACTCACCCACCCACTTACTCACGTTCTCACTCCCTCACTCCCCCACTCACTCATGCACTCACACACGCACACACTCAATCACTCAATCAATCAATCGATCAATTGATCACTCAATCACTCCTCATTCATTCATTCAATCGTTTTCTCATTACATGACTTCCGCATTACATAACTTACTCATTAACTCACTCACTCATTAACTTTGTCACTCATTACATAACTCACTGATCAACTCACTCACTCACCTACTCATTCACTCACTCACTCATCCACTCACTCACTCACTCACTCACTCATCCACTCACTCATCAACTCACTCATTCACTTGCTCACTCATCCACTCACTCACTCATCCACTCACTCACTCACTCACACACTCACCCACTCATCCACTCACTCAGTCACTAACTCAATCAATCACTCACTCACTCACTCACTTAGTCACTCACTTACTCACTCACTTAGTCACTCACTCACTCACTCACCCACTCATCCACTCACTCACTACATTACTTACTGATTAACTCACTTACTCACTCACCGACCCACCCACTCACTCACTCATCCACCAACTCACTCACTCACTCACTCACCCACCCACTTACTCACGTTCTCACTCCCTGACTCGCCCACTCACTCATTCAGTCACACACGCACACACTCAATCACTCAATCAATCGATCAATTGATCACTCAATCACTCCTCATTCATTCATTCAATCATTTTCTCATTACCTAACTTCCTAATTACATAACTTACTCATTAACTCACTCACTCATTAACTTAGTCACTCATGACATAACTCACTGATTAACTCACTCATTAATTTACTCACTCATTAACTTATTCACTTATTACATCACTGACTGATTAACTCATTCACTCACTCATTATATCTCACTCACTCACTCATTATATTTCACTCACTCACTCACCTACTCACTCACTCACCTACTCATTCACTCACCTAGTCACTCACTCATTCATTCACTCACCCACCCACTCCGCTGCTATTGTTTTTAGTCTGGATTTTCCCAAATATTCTTTGATACCTGCATTTTGGGTTCCTATTCGTCCATTAAATTTCCCCTAACTAATATATTTTCTCGACATGTCAAGGCCTCTAAAGTACGAAAACAGTGGTCTCCCGTTTCCGTCTGTCCGTCTGTCTGTCTGGTCTGTATCCATTTAATTTCACACGTGAACTAAAATTTGGCTAATCATCCCCACCACCAATGCGATGACGTCCTCTCAAAAATTTATAATAGTAAGTTTTTATTTAATTTTATAAAATAAGATATTCCTGCACTTGTGATGTGTGAATCTGTCTCGAATTTCCGCTCTCAGACATCCAGATTTTTGGAAAAAAAATCAAAACTGTATAAAAATGTTTTCCAATTTAACTTTGACACTACAAAACCGAATGCTTTGAAAGCTTGTAAATGTGTTAAGGTTATCGTAATCATGGTAAATGGTTAAAGCAAAATTTATTCGTTTATTCCCTCCCAAAAAATTTATGACTTCATCTTAAAATTTTGCGAATAAATCCTATCCAAAATGTGTAAAATATGATAAGTCTATACTTGTGGTTTATGAGTGAAATCCGTTTTGTTGAAACTTTGGGAATACAATATACGAAACTCACTTGACATACACCTTGTAAAACTTTTATGACTTAAGCGGCTTAAGCCAAACCACCCAGAAGTCAAACTGGCTAGTGTAAGCTTTATGGACCCGAGCCGCAAGGATTATTACTGTCCATTGTTGCCATACTGGAGCTGTAAAGTTTTACTGGATATATGTGAACTGAGTTAAGTTATACAATAGCCAGTTTAAATTATAAGGGTGCTTTAGCTTAAGCCGCTTAAGTCATAAAAGTTTTACAAGGTGTATGTCAAATGAAGTTCTGTCGAAATAACCTTCAGCCAATTTTTTCTTTTATTTTGAAAAGAGAATTGTTTTTTTCTATTTTTCTTGAATTTTCGTCATCTATTAATGTAGTCCAAATTTTTTTTCAAGAATCTCCTTTTTTTGTTCGTAAGGGTACGAAAAAGTAGGTTTAGACAGATAATCTCCGAAGCTATCGTACCGATTTTTGCCAAATTTGATGTGTATGTTAGGAATAATGTCATGTAAAGGGTAAATTGCTAACCAAAATGTATCTAATCATCCCCACCAATAATTTGATGACGTCCCCACATTTTTTTGAAAACATTTAAATTTTATAGAATAACACTTCTATACCTGTGGCTTATGAATTTACCTTGATTTTTTACCCTAGACTCTCAGATTTTCTCTACAAAATCCAAATTGCAACATCACATTTTATGCCAGTATAAGAGCACGAATTACTAACGCCTATATATTTTTCACATTCTCTCGATGTATAAACATAAACAATCGAAGTTAAGCATATACAGATAGTAATTTTTCCGTTAGTTAGCTGCTCTAAATATATTTCAAATTGTCTAAAATCAGACTTTGTAATTTTTCAGAGAAGCAGGATTTGTTAGACTCAACGTCAGGGGCGAAGGAAATAACCTTTGACCTGTTTTTTAATTTATGTAAGCCGTCATAAAAAATATATCTAGATTTTTTAAAAGAAAAGCATGTTTAAAGTGTTGTGTGATACGTACATAAATCTATGAAATAAACTCTTGATTAAAAAAACTGCAAATGATTTAAGTCGTTTACATAAATTATATAAAAAAAGAGATCCCGGAATGGATGCCTGAGGCACACCCCTAGTTATATTGTTTTAGAACTGAACAGTACTTTCGCAATGGTTCTACTATTTTGATAAGTTATTACTATTCTTTGAGATCTACAGTATAAATACGAAGTTATGAGGTCAAAAGCCACTCCACGAATGCTAATACTACGCAATTTAGACAAAAGAATGTCGGTCGTACTTTATGGTATTAAACGCCTTAGAAAAGTCGTAATGGATTCCTCGGGTAACTCCCCCTTATCTGTAAATGTAAACGTGGTTATGTGAAAGATCAACACAGTTGAACATGGCCACTCCTTAAAATAAAAAAGAAATTATTATTATTGTTTTTAGCTCTTTCTTTAGTTTTATTTTGGATTTGTAATCGTGTTAATTACCAATCATGTTGTAAACGTAATATTTGAGACACCGAAAAAGGCAACAACGACAATAGAAGTAGGTTGTTTTCAACAAGACGGGGCTACAGCGCACTCGGCTAGGACCACAATAGGTTGATTTTTTTTAAGCAAAAACACGTTGAACTAAAAACAAACGTCACATTATGAAGTACGAGTGTTAAATTTTTGCCGGCATACCGAAATTTTTAAAAGTACGACCCTGACACGGGATTCTGCCTGCTACTGGTACAGTGTCACCGCTTAGACTTTCAGAGAATATCAGCTTTAAAAGTGTCTTCGTCCTTTTGTTCCAGATGGTGGCATCGTGGAAGACGACTTCGGCACGTCCGTCGTGGCCATCCCGTCCACCCACACTATCACCAAGCGGCAAACCATCTTCGACGACATCGAGGAGCCTCCGCACACCGAGTCGTCCCGTCTGCCACGCGAGGCCGATTGGCCTGCCGACAGGAAGACAAACGAGTACTTCGTCAAGGTGTTGGTCGTAGCCGATCGCAGCATGATCCAGTATCATCAATCCAACGATGATTTGAAACATTACATCTTGATCTTGATGTCTCACGCGGCTCTATTATACAAGGACGCTAGCATAGGGAACTCCATCTCCTTGTCGGTAGTCAACATCTGGATGTTGAATAATACCGTCTTCACGAGTAATAACTCTCAAGGTGAGTGACTTGGGGATTTTTTTGGGAGAGGAAAAAATTCGCGACTAGAGGAAGGATGGGAGGCGTGGACTCGCGTTGTCTGCGAGGTGTCGGTGCGGAAAAATCAAATCTAAGAATGTTAATAATTCGCGGTGGATTGTTTGACAGCGCACGTTCCTTTTATGGTCACGCCATTTGTATTAGTACTATTAGAGTCGTGTTTAGGAGTTGTGAGCCATATTTCTGTGTGCGGGTTTATGACGTGCTTGCAGGTGCTTTTTTACCTTCACCCACACCTTGAAACGTACTATGTTGTTGTTTTTGCTTTGATATAAATGGTTAGTTTTACCTACTGTTCCTGTGTTTTCGTTCTTTGATGTGATGATTTAGATAGAGTTTAAAATTATGTGTGCCATTTTGACGTCCATTAGTAAAGTGGCAACACCGCACCAATTTTTACAGGGTCGCTAAAAAGTATGGAAGCAGTTATATTAATGCCCAATCATTGTAAAAATGCTATTTTCAAATAATTTACGAAATATTCTAGAAATAACAATATTCCCAATTAATACTTGTAAATAGTGAATACATTGTTATGAAAGCTTTTTGAAAAATTTCACATTATTGGTGGGGATGATTAGACAAATTTTGGTTAGCGTTTTACCATCTACATGATATTCCTAATATAAATACAAAATTTGACAACAATCGGTCCAGTACTTTCGGAGATTATTAATAAAAATCCCGGACGGCAGACAGACAGACAGACGGACAATCAGACGAAAACGGGAGACTTATTTCTTCGTATTGCAGGAGTCATGAAAGGTCTACAAAACGTAAAAGTAGAGAGTCGGCCGACGGACTCAATTACAATACTTCCTTCACTTACGCTTGGGAAGTAAAAATTGAACTTTTTTGTTGGATATTAACCAATAAAAGTGATGTACATTTTCCCAAACAACTTGTACAAATTTTGGAAATATTTTTTATAGATCGTTTTTAAAATGTCCAATTCTGTCTCCGGAATACTTTTCAAATCTGAACCCATGTCTCGTCAAGCCCACAAAGGGAAAAAAACTAACGTCTGAAAGGTATAGTTCTTATCAAGTTAGGGAAATATTGTAATATGATCCATCTTACGAATGGCTAAATTCTTGTTTTTTCGATGTTCCATGACTTCTAGATTATAGAAAAGTAGGTTCCTTGTTTTCGTCTATCTGTCTGCCTGTTTGTCTGTCGTTTGTCATCTATGTCGATATTCATGAGTAAAACAATCTCAAAAACTACCAAACGGCTAACAACACACTATGAGACGAAACTGATAACACTGACGCAAAGTAAACGTGTAAAGAAAAGTGTGTTTATGTATCTAAACCGTCAAAAAGTCCTAAATTATTGTTACGAAAGAAACCCGTACGCCACCCCGGCACAACGCCTATCAGCTTTCTAGTAGGTATGCACGATAGTGACGGGTTACTCGGCTGAGCGGCGTTCGAAAAGCCTGGAAGCGGAAGTCGCGATAGGTATTCGAGAAAGACCTCGATCGCAGAAGTATGGGTTTAAATAGAGCCCATCCTCGGGAACGATTATTATTCAGCCAGTTGAGTCAAGAGAGTCCAATCATGTTGCGCCAGAATTATTTTATACATAATCGCTGTAAAAGTTAGTCGCGTAATTTCGAGTTAATAAGAAATGAATTGTTGAGTTGTACCCACGCCGATTTTTAATCACCCGTTCAACGTAACATTATTAATTTTTTCTAGTGAACTTCCTTCACTTCTGAAGCATAACTGTTATCTGTTAGACCGTATTGTTATACATATATCAGTTTTTAGTAAAAATAAACAAATAATGGAATACTCAGCGTAATTTTGTTTGAAGAATTAACAAAAAATAATTAAGCCGTTTTGAAGTTAATCAAAAAATAAATTGTTTCATCACTAATTTTTTTGAGACAACCTGTAACAAGCAATTATAAAAATTATAAAACCACTCACTAACCACAACTGTAAACCCATAATATTTTTCACATTTTAGATAATGTTGAAATAATGTCATCAAGTTTTTGGAGGAGATAACAGACTAGTTTTGATTACGATTTACCGTATTTACGACAACCTTAAAATCTTTATGTATCTAAACCGTCCAAAAATTCCTAAATTATTGTTACGAAAGAATCCCGTTCGCCACCTCGGTACGACGCCTATCAGCTTTCTAGCAGGTATGCACGATAGTGACGGGTTACTCGGCTGAGCGGCGTTCGAAAAGCCCGGAAGCGGAAGTCGCGATAGGTATTCGAGAAAGACCTCGATCGTAGAAGTATGGGTTTAAATAGAGCCCACCTTCGGGAACGATTATTATTCAGCCAGTTGAGTCAAGAGAGTCCAATCATGTTGCGCCAGAATTATTTTGTACATAATCGCTGTAAAAGTTAGTAGCGTAAATTTGAGTTAATAAGAAATGAATTGTTGAGTTTTACCCACGCCGGTTTTTAATCACCCGTTCAACGTAACATTATTAATTTTTTCTAGTGAACTTCCTTCGCTTCTGAAGCATAACTGTTGTCTGTTAGACGGATTGTTATACATATATCAGTTTTTAGTAAAAATAAACAAATAATGTAATACTCAGCGTAATTTTGTTTGAAGAATTAACAGAAAATAATTAAGCCGTTTTGAAGCTAATCAAAAAATAAATTGTTTTATTCACTAATTTTTTTGAGACAACCTGTAACAAGCAATTATAAAAACTATAAAACCACTCGCTAACCACAAATGTAAACCCACAATATTTTTCACATTTTAGATAATTTTGAAATAACGTCATCAAGTTTTTGGAGGAGATAACAGACTAGTTTTTATTACGATTTACCATATTTACTACCTTAAAATCTTTGCAAAGTTTCAGACTAGTGGGTTATGTAGTTTCTAAATTAAAGTGTAACATCTTGCTGAACAATTTTTATTTTCTGTAAAAATTTAGACGACCAAAGCAAAAAGTAGAAGTTGATTATAAAGTCACAAGTATAGAAATATATTTTTTATAAATTTTTATAAAATTTTCAAACGACGTCACCAAATTCTTGGAAAGGATGATCAGCCAAATTTTGGTTAATGTTTTAGTGTCTATACTAAAATTACACAATAATCGAACCAGTAATTTCGGAAATTATTTTAAACAAAAATGGGAAACATAATTTTCCATGTTCTGTGACTTTTGAAACATCTCGTAAACATGAAATTTACCATTCGCCAAAGGACCCTATTATAAGGCTTTCCTATTTATAGCTGGGAAGTAAAAGTGGCACAGTATTCCTTGTTTTTGAGAAAATTAGATTGTTGATCTACCTTAATTTTCTATCCTAAATTATGAAAAAGTAGGTTATAATGTAAAAAAATTTCTGTTTATTCTCTACAAAAACTTGATGATGTCATCTCCAATTTAACTAGATAAATCTTATATAAAATATTGTCACGGTGAGCGGGCGAATAAAATCGGCGTAGGTAAAACTCAACAATTTATTTCTTAATAACTCATATTTATACGACTAACTATTGCAGCGATTATGTACAAAAATTGTTCCGGCGCATTTCACTGGACACTTTTGACTCCACTAGCTGAATAATGCGTTCCCCAAAGGTGGAATCTATTTCAACAGCACGCTGTCCTTCTCGAAACTCTACGTCACCGCTTCTAGACTTCTCCGGAACCCCCATTTGCGACTTCCGTTTCCAGGCGTTTCTTTGGCGCTCCGTCGCTCAGTCGCATTGAGGATGAATCATCATCGTGGTAAGACCAGAGAGTTCTCGACGGCCATTGGCGGGTATATTTCGTAACAATATGCAAAATATTACGCAATTATACTTTTGGTTTATCAGTGTAGACCATTTTTTTAATTTTTTTTTATGCAGGACGTCTTAAAAAAATAATGAATGAACCAATTTTTTTGATTAAAACAAAAATGGCTTCCTCGTTTTGCTACAGTTGCAATTAGTATTACATTGTACTTATCCAAACTGATATATCCCCTAGGAAAAGCTGATGTCATCAGAAAATGTTATTAGTTATAAAATAAAATTCGCAACGTTAAATTTTAGAATTCATATAAAAAACTTGATTTGTCTTATAACATCTGTTACGCACCTCGAAAAACGCATTTTATTAAAGATTTATCTATTTTTCCACTAGTATTCTATTAATCGTTATTGTGAAATTACTAAATTACCCTTAGTATCTTGCCAAATTTCAAAACAAATTTTTCTAGATTCTATTAAAATAGGTAATATTAATTAATACATTCCAGGTATAGAACCATATCATTTTGTTCATTTTAAATACTGTTACAAAATAAACCCATACCCCGCCCCGGTACGACGCCTATGGGTTATCGAGGCTTTCCTAGTATGTGCGGCGATGATGGGTGACTCATCACCCGGGCGGCGTACGCATAAAGACAAGCCTGGCAGCGGAAGTCGCGATGGGCAATCCAGAAAGACTTCGAATGCGGAACTTCTAGAAGGAAAGTATGGCTTTAAATAGAGGCCACCACGTTATTATTCAGTCGAGTCGAGCCCAACGAGTGTCGAGAAAACGTGTAAATTTGAGTTATTAAGAAATAAATTGTTGAGTTTTACCCACGCCGATTTTTTAATCACCGATCAACGTAACAATACATTGAAAACTTGAGATGACGCCATAAAATTTTTCATAGAGATAATTAGATAATTTTGATTACTTTTACCATCACCTACACGATATTCTTAAAGCACGTGGAACCCAATAAATTATCTATCGAATAAAATCGCCGATAGAAAACACACGACAGACATATAAAAACAGGGGACCCATTTTTTCAAAATCTAGGCGAAAAATCATGAAATTAGCCATTCGGCATATAGACTCTATTATAACGCTAATAAAAAGATTAAAATAAGGACAATTAAATTATAGTATGTACAAGGCACGCAAACTTAAAAAAAAAACTAGGCTATACAACTCCAGTGGCGGCTCGACCTTGGTTCAATTGGTTAATGATCTCCAAAAAACTAGGGAAATGAGGAAATAATTTCCAAAAATTTTCTTAAACAAGTTAAAACAACTTACATCCTAATGAAAAAGAAGTAGCATATGGAGAATTTATTACGTATCTAAAGTCATATCCACTCCAGATCTTCAAATAATTTTGAAAACGCGATATTAATTTCTAAAACTTTCCTCGTCTACTTTTTCGAAAAATTATAAAATTTAATTGTGTGATTTTTTATAAGAACCCTTATTATAAGTTAAAATAAAAATATATATGTAATGTTAAAGTAAGTGTAAAGAAGCGTGCTGCGCATATGTTTCTAATGACTTTTCCGTAAAAAAAAATTGTGATGACGTCGCGTCGTATACTCCTAGATTCGTGAGTTATTAATCCGCCTTAAGTTTTAATCACAATTACTGGATATGTGGATGTATAGAAAAAAAATATTCAGAATGAGTTGCTTCATTCCATGCGTGTTGATTGTCAATAAAACATTAAATCTGAAAAAAGTTGCGTTATGAACGGTAATATATTTACATATATTTATAGTAATAGTGTAGGTAGTTCAACACGACGCTCGACCATTGATGCTTTAAAGTATTTATTCAGGTCAAATCTTCAGTATACTTTTACCCTTTAAAAGCAAATAGCAGTATATGGAAGCCAATCAGTCAATTACCAATTTTAAGCAGAACAGAAACTATGTAACAAGTTTACTTAAGCCCATTATATTTCTTAACACACAAAGTACCTGTATAATTTTGTATTGTATAACCTTAAACATTACTGTTTTTAAAAAAATAGCCGCTGGAGCTTTACCCAGGAAAATATGAGCCGCTCACCAATTACAACAATTATTTATTTATCCAACCGACCACAATTTTACGCCAAATTAGCCACAATTACCCAAATATTAACACTATCATTATTATTTTTTTCAGTAATGTTGCGCAAATTTTGCGACTGGCAGAAGCGCTACGTCCCCGACCGAAAACACGACATGGCTCTGCTCTTCACAAGGTAAGGAAAAAACAACTTTCCACCCAATTTCCCGCCATCTTGGAACCAGAAGGTCGACCATTATTGCAAACCAATTCCACTAATATCCATTTTCGCAACCCGTTCTCAAAATCGCCTCTAATCACCTGTTTATGGAAGTTTTTTCGCGCTAACCCAAAAAACACATTACGGTTCGCCCATATCTAGTCCATGTAATTTGGCAATTTCGTCGGTTTGTCGCTGATTACATGTTTGTTTTTGCTGGAGATAACCCACAATAATTTCATTCATAAATCGGTTTCGTTTTATTGTGTTGTCGAAATGTTTTGTTGTTGTTTTGGCGGCTATAAATTCACTGGCTTCTGATAAATCTGACTTCATCTCTGACGCGACAAGGTCTCTAAATTATTTTTAGTTTTAACTGTTTTGAAATGGTGAGGTCATAAATAAGGAGATTGTTATCATCTGGTTCAGATTTTGTGTTTTCGGTTTTTTGGAGACTCATTTTCATAAAATCGCAGCGATTATTAAAATCTTTCATAATTAATGTGAGGTTTGACGGCTAACGACTCATTTTAAGTGGTTTGGCGCAAATTTAGTTATTTTTTTTCGGGTTAATTAGGATTATGTATGCGGAGAATGTTTATATTTTGAAAAAATGACCAAATCTGATAAGTGCGGCCCACGCTAATTGGGGATTAGGAAACTTGATATTTGTTTTTTTGGGATGTTGATATTAAATATGACATCTAAGGAATAGTATGTCGGGGTGGAGGGGGCTTGCAAATATTAATTATGGATTTTTACCGATTTGGGATTTCGCTTGTTTTGCACTAGGCGGAAATGTGACTTAGTTTAACAAAAAATCGCTTAATTAGCTAAGAATTTACCGATTTTGATCGAGCACATGTGCAAGGCTATTCTCCCCCTCCACGCTCAGTTTTTTGAGGAAGGTACCCATCTTGCGACACCTCATTAAGCTGATGCATAAAGTTGTATATTGCGTCATTTTTGTGAAAAAACTAGGCTAAAGAGTTCAGAAGCGTGACAAGATGTGTGTCAAATTTTTTCGGACGCAGATTTCTGCCACGGGAAATTTTTGTAAAATTTATTAGAATTTTGCAAAATCAGATAAGCTCTGTTTATAATTAAACTCACAACAATAAATATAATATTTTCGCTCGCAAAGAATGTCTTTATTACCGAAAATTTGCATTTTATAACAGTCCAAGTTTTTTACCTGCCAACTTGGACCGTCTGGGGCTTGTCGCTCGGTTTTCTTTTCAGGTAATGGCCCCATAAATCTGCATAAACTGCTTGCAGATGATTTCTGTATTACTCGAGACGTTTATTGGGGGCCAAATTTCAGTTGCCAGACAATAGTCGGAATTTATGTTGACGTGATTGTCGCGCCAAAAATTTTGCCTTTGATACAAACAGTTTAAAATTTATTAACGCTATAGAAAGAGCTTTTACACGGATGCCGCAACAAAGTCTAGCTTTAAACGTGCTAAATGAACTGAAATTCACTTCGTTGTAACAATAATTATTAAAAACCTTGAGAGTCGTGTTACGAAGATAATTATAAAAATAATTTGTTCTAACTACAGTTACATGAAACACAACTTTTCTTTCCGCGTATTAAGGAAGTGAAATTAGTCATATTGAGAATTTTTTAAATGTTTGTTAAGTTAATGTTCAAGTACATATTTTGGTTTGAAAAGATGGTAGACAAAGATATGCCAATGTTTTGTTAGCTTTTTACCTTATAGGGGCTTCATTAAATGATTCATGCATCCAAGTGGGCACTGATTTGTTTCGCCTCCTTCGGACTGTGTAAATCTCTTGTGTTGTTGTTGAGTGTTTAATTGGTTGCATAAACGTATGCAAATTAAGTTGAAATTTAACAATTTTATTCAAATATATTGAGTTTTCAACTAAAAAAGTCGTGATGTTGGCGTTGTTTTTGTAAGCTTTATGAAATACGTTTGAACTAAATTTAAAATTTAATCGATGATGACAGTGGAATTGTACAACCTAACCTAACTTTTTCGTATAATAAAATTAATCCGTTTCTAGATCTTTTTAAAGTCAGATGGATGGGATTATTGTTTATTTCTTTTAAAATTTAGCAAAAACAATCAAAATTACAAAAGGTGTTGAAAATGTTATCATTATTTTTTAATCATATTCGTAATCTTCCTTTCTGGTATTGAACATTTTTCGTAGAATTTCTTCATTTATGTTTTGACAATGTGATAACCCAAACTTCCCGCCTTAAATTGACACTTGAACAATTTGAAAGACCCGCTAAAAATTCAAAAATTCAAAATTTGGGGAGTTTGGGGCTACCGGTCGGGGCTGTTCTCCCCCGCGACGGTGATTCTATCTATCGCAAGCCTACCGCACAACACATCACCATGACGAACATGCCGTCCTAACCAGGCCGTTACGGTCGCAAACTAGTGGTTGGATGTTACGGCTATAAATAAGCTGACAGCGTCACATCGTCCAGATCGTTCCCACTGACTCTATACAAAGCCTGCAACCCTTGTGCAGATAGCGCGATAAATCCGGTTAGCTCAATTAGGCACCGCGCCCCCCGCTTCTGCTACGTGTTTCGGTATTATTTAACTTCAATTCCGTTTAAAATGTTCAATTTCTATGACTCTGATATTAACGACAACGGGGTAAGTTTTATTTGAGATTAAGTTGGGATATCAGAGAATTTATACGGTGGAAACATTCATCAACAAAATATTTACGAAACAAAACTTAGCAAAGATTTATGAAAACAAAAGATCTGGTGTGAAATAAACTTATGCAAATAAAAATATTACGTGAGGTTAAAACTGTAGAGCATGGAAATTTACGTTCAATTAAAATTATACAACAAAGAAAATTTCTGAAGTTAAAATTATGAGATAGAGAAATATTGTATGAGGTGAAAATTACAAAGCTAACAAATTTACATGAGATTAATACTTGCCACACCTTATCAACGATTCAAACAAAGAATTTACATTATGTTAAATTATGTCTTTATCCAAGTGATTGATTACTTAAAATAATTAACTTTGAGAGTTTATCGTGGACTGGTTACCCCAACAAAACACATTAAATAAATACAAAAATATCCAGTCATCGTTGCGAGGAAAAAGCGTCTCGGTGATGTAAATTTTAGCGTTGCGAGGACATGCCTCGGTGGTGTAATAACGATGATGATGACCACGACATAATGAATTTTGTTAATTTAACTGCTGCAAATCAACTACTAGCAATCTTGTGTTAAGAATTAAGAAGTATTATAATGTAACACTTACGTATATGCATCCAGAAACTAATTCGTAACTTGCTAAACAACGAATCAAGTGAATTTCACGAAATTTTCTAGCAAGTGGTTTATTTAAATAATCCTGATCGTTAAATTGTGTTAGTAATAGTTAACGAGTAACTCCTAACCTGAACTGTGAATTTACAAACAATGAGTCAAATTTACACGTGTTAGCATCGATCAAAAAGTCGCATTCTTCCAAATTAAAAAGTCGTAAGAATTAGCTGCGCATATTGGAGGAAAACTGTGACGTCATCGTTACGATTAATTTCGTTAAACAAAGGCTTCCTCCCTTTTATTAAGTACCAAACCAACTAAACTGACCAAACTACCTTACCACGTGGTTACGTTTACAAAAAAAAAACACCCAGAATGACGCTTCACCATGCTGCTCTCTGTCCACCGACCAACCCTCTGACTAAAACCCCTAGCGAGCTACCAACTATCAGGAAAAGAACTAAACGTGCACAAGGCCTATGTTTAACAATTTTTTTCTTTGAATTTTTTTCTCAAATTTTGAATTTTGAATTGAGATCTTCTCTAGTATTTAATTGGTTATGTTTTAATGGATTTTTCTTTGTTCAATCCTGTATATGCGATTCTACCTTGATTTTGTTTATTATTGTTATTATTTAATACCTTTTGTTTTTTCGATACATAACCATAGCGGTAGTCTAGCAGTAGTTTACCTGCATCGCAGATGAGAGGTCTGCGGATCAATGCCGGGCCGCAGCTTTTTTAATTGATCAAAATACAGTACTGTTGTTAGTCATATTACACTGCACCTATTCAAATTGACATAAGTGTCCTTGTTAAAATGTTGATGACGTCACAACAAAATTTTGTTATGGAAAACTCACTTGAAACAAACGCATAACATGCTTCTTTACCTATAGTTTAAGAGGCCGCACTTAGTTTTCTTTTAACTTATATGGGTTATCAATTATCATTAAAAATAAAAGAACTTCGCAAAATTGAATTATACAATTTTTCGAGGAAGCTTCGTTTATTTGACTTTAACTTCAGGGCGACGGAAGTTCTGTCTAAATAACCTTAAACCAATTTTTTACTCTAGTTTTTACTTGTTTGTATTCTTCGTAATTGTAAGTGATTTTGTTTCCTACGTGTATTTTCTAGTTGTGCTTCTTATTTTTTACTGCTTCCTTTACCTCTTTCAACCACCAGTTTGATTTTTTTTCATGTCCTTGTGTGTTATTTCAGTTATTGCAAAGCTTAATTCTATCGCTTTTATTATAACTACTGTTATGTTAAAGTATTTCCGCGTTGTAAACGTATTTGTTTTCTGTAGGTTTCCCTCTAATTGTTGTTCGTAACTCTGTTTTACTTGTGAATCCTATTATCTGTAACATCTTATCTTTCTATTTGCAGTCTTTCTTCTAGAGTTTTCTTCTTTCATCCATTTTGATCCTAGTCTCAACGTTATTCAGTACTTTTTCGTGGATCTCTCTTGTTATCTTCTGCAGTTTGTGTGTTCCTTTTCTATACAGTTCTATAATTCTGTGTCCATTTGTGTTTTTTATGTTTCCCCTGTTTTCGAAGCCCTATTTATTTGATTCTTCCATTTCTATTTCCTACTCTTCCGTTCAGGTTACTCATTATTATTATCTTTTTATTGCTGCTATCAAAATTTGTTGTCACATTTTGTGTGCATTTTAAGAATATCGTGTAGATGGTAAATCTCTAACAAAAATTTGTCTGAGCGTCACCTCAAACTTTTGCATGGTAAATATTGGTGGTCTATGAATCCGCCTCGATTTTTTAACCAAAGCATCAAGATTTTCGTAAAAACAAAATTTTATATCAACATTTTATACTAATACAGGGTGGTTCAAAAATGACTCACTAATTTCAGGGTACATTATTGGAATTTTTTTATCATTTTTCCCGAATTTAAATTTCTTACGTCAATTTGACGATCACTTTCAAAACAAAAAATCTATTTAGGATAGATAAATTAACAATAGGTGAAAAATTAGCCAACTGTTGTGTTTAATGTCGTAGGGAGGGATGTTATAGGGGTCTGCTCCATTATCTGTCCAACATTTCCAATATTTTCTGGAGTTTTTTTTTGGTGCAGTCAAGGAACCAAGAAAAATACGATTAGAAAGGAGATTTATGCAACAGTTGTTAAAGTCACATCGAGACTGTGTATTAAATTGAGAGTCATTAATTAACGTATTAATGCAATGCGCGGTTCAGTACCAAATGGTTCCTCGATTGAAAAATCCCCATCGACTAGTAGTAATTGTTCAAACTATGAAAGATAAATTGTGTACCATATAGGTACTTTGAATTGTACCTATTTTAATTGTCCGAACATAAATAAATAATTCTAATTTATTGTTAAAAAAGGTGTGTAATACGGTTAAGGGGGTTCCAGCTTTGACCATACATGACGCAGCATCAGAAAGCATTAATCCGAGTTTATTAAATGGTACCTATAGCATTGGGTAAAAATATGTTGGTTAAGGTTTCGTGGATAAATCTACTTATAGTTACATTATTCGCCTTTTCTAACTCTTTAACAACAACTAAATAAGAATCTGACACAAAGTTTGCAGTTAAAGTACACCTAATAAATTTGCTATACAGGGTGCCGCATCCATAGGGAATTAACATGGCAAATTGGTTTTTCAAATCGTTGCATCGCGCTTATTTAGTGTAAAAATCGTATTTTGAAATTCGTGCCCGATCCGATTTGTCGCGAAATATTCCCTCGCACTCTCGAAGTTCAGTGATCGCGTCTTTGGATTAACCATGCAAAATCCAAATGTCAAAGTGAAATTAGAAATTATTCTCAGAAATCAACGAACAACTCAAACTGAATTATTTTATCCAGTGTGATGATTATTGTAGGACAAATTAAACGGAATAAATGCACAAATTGATCCATTCCCTCGTCAAAGTGCGCGACCCCGTCAAACGATCCATCCCGAACTACACTCAGGCCGTATCCAAAAAGCCCGAGATGAAGATTTCGAGCAGCTGGTCTTCCTCAAAACCCCATCGGCAGCATTGTGACATGTCCTGGGAGCCCGTCAAGCTAGGAATGTACTCGCGCTGCCTCACTTAGTAATCACTGAACGACTCAAATTGAATTATTTTATCCAATATGACGATTATTGTAGGTCAATTTAAAGGGAATAAATGCACAAACTGCACAAAAATGAAGTCTTAGAAAAACCCGTCCAATTGCATTAAAATTCTATTAAAATGAAGATTTTCACCAATTACCACGAAAAATGTAGCAAAAATTGCAAAAAACTTTTTTTTCATCTTTTCAAGTACGCAGAACAGAAATTTAAAATTTCCACAACTCTGTTTTATACCTTACATGTACAAAAAGAAAATTAATTCCATCTGAACCGATCGCTGCTCTTCTCCTTCGCCTCATTTTTAATCACAATCCAAACCATAAAAACCGTACCAGCGGTCTCGGCTCTGATTTACAACGGCCCGTCCTATCTCGATCCATTTACCCACTCCTTCGTAATTTATAAGCACCTTCTATAAAAATCCTGCACTTAACATTGCAACAAACAACCATAAAAACCAACAATGTCATAACGATGTAAAAGCGCAGAACTCATTACATCAATTCCACTTCATTATAAACAACATAAAAAGTGGAATAAATTGAATTTTAACAAGACAAACCTCACGTTTTCATTCAAACTTGCGTTAAATGCCAATTAAATAAACCGCTCAATTAAAAAGATGCCTTGCAGGGATCCCATTTGCAAGAGCAACTCGTCTTCGAACTGCGACACTCTGGGGGTGGCAGAAGTCGGCTCCATGTGCAACCCCTCCTCCAGCTGCGCCATCGTCAAGGAACGGGGGCTGTCGTCGTCCTACACCATCGCCCACGAACTGGGGCATGTGCTCAGGTAACGAAAAATTAAACAATTTTTTTATAAAATGAATGTCAAACCCAAAAGTTGTATGCAATCGCTATGTTCAAGTTCACAGTCACGCACGGCAAAAAAGACGACTTCAAGCTTCATTTTCCACTACTTAATTGACTATATTAATTTTTATGAGGCTGAATAAAAACTTGATATTGGTTCTATTTTTACAAATTTGCAATGACGTCATGTCGTTGTTGTGGCGATGAATATAAATAAATCAGTTATTGAAAAATAATTATAATGCATTCTATACACATATCGTTCTTGTACCTTGAACGCGTTACAACAATTATATATACACTGTGGAAACTGCTATGAAATCAATTCACTATGACTTTTCTTAGATTATGATTGGTGACAGCTAAGGTGAGCGGCAAATTTAAAAAAATATAAATTTGCAGAAACAACTCGATACGAGATGATTTATAAAACGCTCTGTGAAATTGCGGATTCATCACAATAATGCATATTTTTAAGGACAAGATGAATTACGTGCTAAATGGATTAAAATTTTATAGTTTTTTCTTTTAATTTAAAAAACTGTGTCAAGTTACGACCTACTTTTTGATCGAATCTGTTTTGTCAGCAAATTCTTGGGTAACTAGATCACAAGTCAAAAAAGTCACCCGGTATATCAACGATCGTAGCATAAATTACTCGTATTCGTTACTGTATTGGTGCGATCACGTTAGATTACCACGTGTGTCTAAATTATTTTGTTTAAGTGGTTGGAATAAGTTGGACTAAAATTTTGTTCGTGTGTTATTCTATTGTTAGTATTATTACACAACTACAACAAACTAAATGTCAGATTAAACAAAGAAGAGGCCTGCAAAAAATTGGTAATAGAAGATAAATTGACCTAGGTACTTCAAAGACAATAAAATACTACAAAGCTGTGGGGTAATGAAAACAAACAATCAGATACTCGTCTTTACACGCATCGACAGAATACACCCAGTCCCCATCCTCATTTAACACCCCATTTCGGTGATAGAACATGATGATGAACGTGTTTTGCTCCAAATAATAACCCATCCTAACCTAAAAAAGTTATTTGTAACACTGACTATAGTTATTCCTCTGTGTTCATTCCCTGAGATTATTCCACAATGATCTGAAGTTTTGATGAAAACTGTTTTTTGAGATACTTAAACTTCGAACAAAGGGGAAGATAGCAAGTGAAAACAACAAGACAAGTCACTATAGTAAAATTGGTTTAAATTATGTCAAATGTCAATGACAAGTTTAAAATTTTTGAATTTAGATGGTTGTTTTAGAGAGTTAAAATGAAAACACTTTTAGATGCAAGATCAAAAACAGCGATGACAAAATGCACTGATTTAATATAGGAACTGCTCCCTGGTATGAGCGACAGACAGCTACAACAACGATTGATGGGTATTTTTGGTGCACTCAATTTTAACCCAGTTTAAATTAATGCATTCCGGTAAATTTATTTTGACATGTCGATTTTACTAATTGAAAAATGTTGGTTAACTGGTTGCTAAACCCACACACGGGTAGTATTATTGATTCAAAGCCGACCGCAGGTTTCAAAACGTTAAATTTTTTAGTTAAAAATGGAAATTTACGAATTTACGATTGCAAAAAAAATGTTGTACGCATCATATCCGGAAAGTTAATTTAATTTTCCGGACTGGATACGTAAATTAGTATATTTTTAGAAATTATGTTCAAAAGCAGTCCTTAAATGTCCAGGAACCTCTATTTTTTAAGAAAAATATTTAATTAATGCGCATTAGTTGCTTTTATATTTTTATAATGCGGGCTTAAATCCTGTCCTTTTATTAATATGTAGTATTTAAATTCTTCGGTTTAATTTTATGATTATGACGGTTTTGAAATGCCAGAATAGACTACAACCAGAGGCTGTCTAACCTCACTTTTTGTTGTTGCTGTTTTGCTCAAAGAACTACAAGTTTATCTTTAAGAATAAAAAAGTTACAGGGCTTGTATCAATTAAAAAACACCCTGTATATAATAATATAATATGTTGATTATACGGGGTGGTTAAGTTCTGGTATATGTACGTTTTATCTGAAGAAACTACTGTCCTTCTGTTAGATTCAAAATGAGAATTCAAGATATTACTTAACAATATTTAATAGAATATCTCAATCAAATATATATTGGAAATAATTTCCATCTAACCATAACACGTAATTATCTATTAAAAGCGCTTGTGGTACCGAATAGATTGATTTAAAATACTGGCAATCGTGTTTGATTCATTTTTTTTTAAATTTCAATGTTGTAAAATGTGCAAAATATCGCACAGAACCACAAAAAAAAATCAAGGGGTGTAAGATCGGGAGATCTTGTAGGCCACTGAATATTATATCTACGATTTAACTTCTTGCGCTCATATGGATTTAAAGAAGAGCTGTCAGTAATATTGACCGTCTAACCCTGGGTGTCATAATAATTATTAAGACAATTTACAATGTTGCCCGCTGCGATCCCAACTTTTCGGATTCCGGCTAAGTAAATTTTATATCATCTAGTCCGTATCTCCCAAGTTTCTGGTAATGGAGTAGATTAATGAATAATGAATAAAATAATAAATAAAAATAAATTATATTATTATTTCCAAGTGCTTGTAAGTGTTGTTGAATGAAAAATGAACACTACTGTAAGTTCAATTAAAACTAGGAAAACTTAGACAAAAAGTATTAAAAGTTGTCTAAAGTTGTTAGAAAAATGTAAATTTGTAGAAGCGAACAAGTCAGGAAAAAACGTTTTCTTCGGCACTTCGGTGGTATAAGAAAATCTATACCTGGTGTCTGGAAAATGGCGGATTAACTGTCCGCTACGCTCTTACCAATCAACTGGAGAGTCGGGGAAAAATTGTAATAAAAAAATTCCTTCTCGCATTTTGGTGGAGTTATAATGATTTTAAAATTGATGTTATAATATGATTCATTTATTTGAATGTACAAAACATCAACAAAATTAAACATTCAGATACTATTTTTTATCTGTCAACCCTTTTTCTAATCAGCCCACTCTTCTTTTTTTAATCAAAACTAAGTTCCGTTACAGTGTGTTTTTTTTTTAATTTGGGAGACTCATGGGTACCTATGGTGTATTATTTGGGAGCCCATGGCGATTTTTTTTTTGTAAATTATTTAAAACAATTTTGGGGGACGTTAGTGTTCTATTTTTGGAAAATTCTGACCTAACCTGTTTTTAAGTATTTTTTTTTGAAAATTTAAAACCATTTCAGATTCTAGGTATTCCCATTTGGAAAGAATTTGAAAGTGCTTTGGAGCCTCTAGTGCCTTTTCTTATAATAATTTAATTAAATTTCGTAAAGGATACTTCATTTACTAAAATCAGTCTTATCTTAGCGGCTCCAGCCGCTCTTCCTCTCTTTTCTTAGAGTGTATATCATTTGCCAAAGTCGGTCTTATTTTAGCAGGTACTAGCCCCGCCCACCCACCCTCTCTTTTCTTAGATGGTATGTGATTTACCAAAATCAGTTTTATCTTAGCGGGTACTAACAGTAAGGGAAATTTATTACTAATAATAATTTGTTTAATGATACCAAGAGCACTCTCACGGACTTCATGGCTTAGGGGAATGTATAATAATCTAAAGAATAAAGAATGAAATGTTGGGAATTTATTTTTATTTATTTATTTTTAGACCAAGGTATTGATGGTATCAGTAGTGATAAATATTGCAATGGGTTTTCGTATAAAGTAGAACAAAATCAACAAAGCTAACTTTTCAGAAAAGTTTTAGTACCCTAATAAGGCCAACAATGACACTGTAAAAATGACGAATTTTTCCGAAAAAATGTTGTCTTCCATAGAATTTTTATCAACTTCTAAATCTAGTTACACTTGAGGTGGGACGTCAAATGAACTAAGAAATATCATTTCAGAAAATTTTTATATTTCGTTTAAAGTAGCGTTCATCAAGCGAAAAAAGGTTAGTTTTTCATTCCTAATCTCAGACCTACGGGCGGAGCTTATTTGCATATTCAATATTCCTCTACAAAATTTTACAATTATACCATTTTAAATATGATTTCAGTTTTTTGTTGGAAAAGAAAGCAAAATATAAGCCCTACCCACCCACCCTCATCTCAATTCAGATGAATTTTTCATTCGTTGTCAGATCGAGGGGCGGAACACCATTGCAAAATCCACATTCGTCTATAACTTTACCATTTTCAACAAGTTTATGTTTTTTGCTGTGAAAAGAAGACAACGATATTAAGAAAAACAAGGCAAAATGCAAGCCCCGCCCACCCACGCCGTCTCAATTGTGATGATGTTTTTTATTCATCGTGTACACATATTGTAATCTCATTCTATTGTCCTGTAATTGGAACTTGATTCTCTTGGGCAAATATACTATTATTATTTTTATATTTTTCTAACACAGTGTTAAGGTCTGAAAATTTAGTTTTAACAGTGCTTCGCATGGAACTAAAGTCGTTGAATTTCCCCAAGTCAAACTTTTTCTCTTTCTATCTTATGCACTTTGTGTGAGACAAAAAATCACCAAATTTTGTAATAGGTCGTAGAGTCTTATGTCAAATTTTGAAATTTGTCATTTGTCCCAGTCAAAAATGTAGCGATTTAACGACCAAGCAAAACAAATCATTTTAAATGTGTTAGACAGCCTTGATAGAAACCAAGATGTTTTGGAAATTAAGAAAAAAAGGACGACAGAACTTGTTGAAAATTTCGGAAAGATCTCTCTACAGGCTACGAAAACGTCCAGGTTTAAGTGACTTTGAATAGAAGAAAAATATGTCTTCTGGAATTAGTCACATAAAAATAAAAGTGAATCCTATTGATTTAATGTCAATCCAGGAGATTATCTATAAAATGGTTGTTTCTAAAGAATACTATTAAGTTTTTGCACGATCGAGTAATGGAAGAGATTCCCGATTTTAACGTTGGTCCTAAATCGTTAACCAACTGGACAAGGAAAATTGGTTTCAAATTTAAGAAAAATAGTAATAGATTATTTTTGATGGAATGGCCTTCAGGTATACCACCAAAGCAAAGGAAAAAATGTATATGAACCTCTTTTTCTCGATGAAACGTGGGTATTTAGTAAAGGTGGCATACGCAAAAAGACATGGCAAGACGATTCAGTAAACACTACTATTGCAAAAACTGGAGAAAGGTACATACATTGTGGTTCAAGCTGGAAATAAAAACGGTTTTTTTGAAGGAACCCCTTTAATTTTTAAAGCTAATAGCAAATATGGAGACCATCATGATAACATGAACAAGGAAAATTTTGAAAAATGGTCCAAAGGACAGTTGATACCAAGTTTTCGGGAACCTTCGCTTATTGTGATAGGTAAAGCAAGTTATCATAGTAGACTTGAGGTGTCAATTTAGTCTTCATAGGTATTCATATAGTGTAATAAAACTTTACTTTATTTGTAGGAAGAAATTCCTCGAAAAAGTTGCACAAAGACAAAAATGATAGCATATTAAAATAAAAATGGGATTGATTATCCACCCAAGGCCATGAAAGACCAAATCTGGAGATTATTCGCTAACAAACAACCCCAAAAACGTTATCATTTAGATTTATACGCCCAACATCATTGGCATTGGGTATTGAGGCTGCCACCTTACCACTGTCATTTCAACGCTATTGAAATGGCATAGTCGGAAGTTAAAAGAAATTAAGATAAGATCATTCCGAGAACCAGCTCTTCCCCCAATGATGTTTGTGCAACTTGGCAAAATGTGATTGATCAAGTTCCAGCTGTGCATTGGAACAATTACGCTAAACATACTGATTAAATAATAAATTGTGCTGGGAAAATGAAAAAATTTTAGATGTTTGAGAACAAAATCAAATTATTACTAATGTTAATAATCCGGATAATAATAAGAGTGGAAGTAAGAACAGTAGCCTTGAAGATTTAGATGACGATATAATTTGAAACTTTTTCTTATTAAAGCTACCGTTTTTTCGTTTTTTAATGAAGTTCAATTAATTACGTAATTAAATGGTCCAGTTTATAAAAAAGAAAAGTCAAAATTTACCATTTTTTTGATTGATGGGTTTAACATCATAGTAGAATATAATATGAGTAGGCTTCGGATTTTAGGTCGTTAAAAATGAATAAAAGGAGACATTTTTGGGTCCCAAAATTGACGAATTAGGTTATAAAAATCTTAGTTTAGGTTAAAAACCAGGAGGAAAAAATATTTGCTCAACGAAAGAGCATACATCAAAAAAATATATATTAAAAAAAAACATTAAACAAAACATTATCGAAACAAATATTTTGTGTAACAAACAAAAAAATGATTAAATAAACAAACGATCTATTGTTACGTCCACTAATTCTAAGTTATCGCAAAAAATGGCGATCAAATTAAAGCAAGTCGCATTTAACAAAAAATAAAAGATTAATTCAGGTTTTTAAAATGAGTTACAAAAGCAAACTATATATGTATTTCTCTAAATTTTCGATTGAAAATTTATATCTTTCATCGCTTAAAACACTTTTAAGTTTTGAAAACGTGCGTTCCACATCACAAGAAGTGATGTGTGCAAAATTAAATATTGAACAATCTACGTTTTCATTTATGTACGTATTGTTGGTAGCATTTCCATTACCGCAAATTACGTTATTTACTGAACATATAAAATCGTATCCTGGATTCTTTTTTAATAGAGAACATGCTTTATTCAGGAATTCTTGAACTTTTTTAATGCTTTGTGCATCTGTGGCTTCAAATGACATTACAACCTAAAAATATTCAATATAAGAATGATAGTAAAAAACCACTATATATATTCTGACTTGTTTTAAAACATCGAAGTGTTCTGCATAAAACAATGCTGCTTGAACCCAAGTGCACACAACTGGTTAATACAGGTTCAGGTGGGAGAGGTGTATTTGGTAAACTGTTTTTATAAAACTCTACTCTTATTGGTGCTTTTAAAAAGATTTTCTTAACATTGCTAATTATCCCATTGACATCTGGATAATTCAGTCTAATTGTTTTAGACACTAAATGTAACCCATGTGCCAAACATGTTAAGTGTGTTATATTTTCATAAAACACCTTCAAATTAGTACTAGTTTTGATCATGTATGAAGCACCATCTGATACAAACCATTTAACTTTTTTGTGTTCAGTTCCTTTTGGCCACAATAAAGCTGCAAATTAACAATTAAATAAATTATAATCATTTCAATGCTTAAAATTATCACTAGCACACCCAATGATTCGTTTATAAATCTCGAGATTGTGTTGCTGTTAGTTTTATGAAGCTGCTTCAAAGCTAGTGGAAATGAACGGCCAGCTTCTTCAGAAGATAACTTTCCAATTACTAAATGGGCTATGTATCTTCCTAATCTGTCCGTCGTCTCATCGACGCTAATCCATATATTATTATTGCCAATAGAATTTCTAATTTGTTTAATTACCTGTAAATTATAAAATTTATGTTAAAAAGTTTTTTAATAAAAATTCTAGTGCTCACTATATCGTAATTTTGTGGTAAATAATTTTTTCTTAGAGTGCTTTCTGAGGGTAAATGCCTTCCTGTATATTTATGCATAAAATTTTTAAACTCAGGACAATTAACTTTATTCCATGGAATATTTACTGCGGTAAATGCCCTACATAAATCGGTGCAAACTTGCGTAAAATCATTATCGGAACTAATGTTTAATAAAGTGTGTTTACTGGATTTATTCTCGTTCTTTTTATACACATCGCCACTGCAGTGTTGTTCAAAGTGTGATGATTTTTTTTTGCACTTAAACTAGGAAACAAAAATGTGAACATAATTCAAGCTTCAGTATTTTAAAAGTTTACTTACAACTTTTCCACACACTTTGCAGAATAACTCATTGTCTTTGGTTGAAAAAGGAAGTTGAAAATTAGTGTCCAAATTATTCCCTAACTATAATTTGATTTTATTTTTCATGGATGATTTTACCTTAGGCATTTTGAGGATTCTTTACTGTATGCACAAAAATCAAAGGCATTTCAGGTAGTAATAAATGGGCGTTAAATAAACAGATTTTTTTAAATTCGGATACATATATATAATTTCGCTGCAATGCCTGAAGGAGATATAAAAAAACAAAAAACCTAAGATCCGAAGCCTATTAATGAGTCTCCCAACTTAAAAATTCAACTTACAATTTCTCTTATTGACTTTCCTTTTTTAGTACCTGTACCTTTCAATAATTGCGAATTTGAAATTTAGATTTATCCATAGCAACATATTCGTAACATATAACAAATCACCTACGGAAAGTTACGAGACTGAATATCGTTTAACAAAATATTTATATTGTCTAGAATTTTAAGAACGATTTACATCATTTTTGAGAAAAAAAAATATTGTCTGAAAAATAGGGACACAAAAAATACCGTATTTGATACATTTTTGTTATTTTGACATAAAATAAACCGTATAAATAATACCCATAACAGCCACAAATGTCAATTAGGAATGACGCGAAATCATCTGTTTAAATATCTGAATTTATTTGCAATATTGTTGTAATTTAATAAAGCTCACAGTTAGTTCATGTGTGAATCATTTCAAATGAATGTGTGGAACATCATGTGCTACAAAACCACAGTAATTTATTTTATTCAGCTTGTTACGGTCTTTATTACAACACGTGCCGAAACCTTTGTTTCTGATGACCGCAAACTATAAAAAATAAAATGTGTAAAATCCAACGTTTGTAAAAAATTAAAAAGTATTCCTTTGTACAATACATTCTACAGAAATTAAATGGGTAGGAATTGTTTCTACAGACAATTTTACAATGGCAAACGAAGTAATTAATTGCCGAAAATTATGTGACTGTCTCGGGTAATCAATATTGTTTATTATCTAAGAATGCAAATTAAGGTTGAAAAACGTTACTTACATAACACGTTAGTAATAAATCAATCAATTTTTGGGTTGCTTCTAGCCCAAGTAACGCTAGTAAATTTAGAACCCTTCACCGACCCCCAAATTCCCGTTTAAATTCGCAAAAAGCTTCCATTTGTTCATCGCAATCCATCATCGACTAAAATTCCATCAAAAATCCACAGCATGCTCCACGACGAAACCGAAAGTTGCTCGTACTTCCGCAAAGGCCGCAAATACGGTTACATCATGTCAAGAATGCTGAACAACGGCACAAAACCCTGGTTATGGTCCGAGTGTTCGAAACACTACGTCACCGAATTTCTCGAGTAAGTAGAAAAACTTTTCCAGGACGTTGACATTGAAGAAAGCGCGTCAACTTTTTACCATCAGAAAAAAAAATGTCTCACCGGCATGCCTTTTAAAGCGCCGACCTGACCTACATTTTTACAAAATTTCTGAAATAATTAGATACGAGACGACGGCAATTAAGTGCTAAAAAAGGAGTTGCGTAACTTTCTCGATCGCTCTTTATGGGTAATTCTGCGTTTTTTTTAAACGACCAGAGAATGGTCATTGTGCGCACCTGATGGTCGCGTTTCGCGAGGAATGCGACCGATCGCATTAGAAAATGCACATCTGGCTGAGGCTATGCGGTTATTGCAGGTCCAGCAAGGCTAAGTGCCTCCACAAGGCACCCGCCAGCAACTACATCTCCTCGGAGATCACGGAACTGCTGCCCGGGGAGAACTTCGAGGCGGACAAGCAGTGCGAACTGGAGTTCGGGAGCGGGTTCAGGCTGTGTCCGTTCAAAGACCAGGTAGATATAGGAACACGTGGAAGGCAAATTCGGATTTTCCCAGTTTTAGCCCACCTGTGCCGTTCTCTGGTGCACCTCCAACTATCTCTACGGCTGCAGGTCCAACCTGCTGCCGTGGGCCGACGGCACGTCCTGCGGGAGAGGCAAGTGGTGCCACCATGGGGAGTGCATCCCTCTGGACAGGCAGATGATGACGCCCGTGGTCGGAGGATGGGGGTCCTGGCAACCGTAAGTATATGCACGACCTTTCAAGAAATATACGCATGATTATGCACATAAAATAAAATACAGGTGCTATCAAAATCAAGGCATTCCTTTGAACTAGTGAACAATGACTTTTAATTTACTTTATATTAATCGCTCGTCGCCTGAGAACTTGTTTGAGCTACAGAGCAGAGCGCGCTCAGGCCATTGTCGACTCTAAGCGCTCAGAAGCGATTTGGTTGACTTGGTTGGATTTTTTAACGATTAAGTGAACGTTTTTGCTACATATTTAGATGATTTTGTTCACAAATATAATATCACATGTTACATGCTTCACTCGATTTTGACATGAAACTATGTTTTTGTTTAACTAAGAATTAATTCTTTAATTGTGTTTTATAGTAGGGAAACGTCTTAAATTAACAATATTGTTCAAATCGTAATAATCTATTGGATTTTTTACTTGAAAATGTAGTTATTTTTATGTTTTGGAAATATTGTGTTCTACTTTGTTTTTAGTGACAAATTTTGTGGTTATTTTCGATACATTGTAACAGTGAGACAAATTAAAATAATCGAAAATTTGAAAAATTCAAAAATCTAAAATTTAAAAACCGGATAATTGGAAAATTGGAACATCGAAAAACTGGAAAATCGAAAAATCGAGAAACCGTCAAGAGATCGAGAACTTGAGAAGTCGAAAAGTCGAAAAATTGAGAAACCGAAATCGAAAAATCGAAAAGTTAAAAGTTGAAAAATTGGAAAATCGAAAAATCTAAAAGCGGAAAAATAAAAAAAACGAAAAAACGGAAGGATGGAAAATCTGGGAAACCGAAATAAGCCAAAATAAAAAATCGGAAAGTTATAAATTGAAACATATTCAAATTTAAAATATTAAAAATGAAAAAAAAATCTAAATCGAAAACTTCAAAAATCGACACATCGAAAAATCCAGAAGTCAAAAATCGTAAAGTCGAAAAACCGAAATATTGAAAAATCCCAAAACTAAATTATCGGAAAACTGAAAAATGAAAGAAAAACTGAAATATCCAAAAACTGAGAATCTAAAAAATTTAACAATTAATAAATCAGGACCTGTAAAATCGAAAAATTGAGAAACTGGAGGACTAGAAAATTGAAACAGTCGAAAGTCAAGAAATGAGAAAATCAAAACTTCGATTACTTGAAGAATCGAAAAATTGAGAATTTAGAAAAGTTCCAAAACTGAAATATCCAAAAAGTGAGAATCTAAAAAATTGAAAAATTGAGAAATTAAAAATCAAAAAAGTGAAGTCGAAAAATCGGAACCCTAAAAAAAATTGGAAAATGAAAACTTTCATTGAATAAACTGAAAAATCACAAAACTGAAGTATCCAAATCTAAAAAATTTTAAAAATTCAAAAAATGAGAAATCGAAAAATCAAAAATGTGAAGTCGAAAAATCGAAACCTTGAAAAACAGAAAAATAGAAAATCCTGCAAAATCGAAAAATCGAAGAATTGAAGAACAGGAAAATCGAAACACTCGAAAGTCAAGAAATGGGAAAACCAAAACATCGATTAATAGAAAAATCGAAAAATTGGGAGTTTGTAAGTCAAATTTGAAAAATTGGAACATCGAAAATTTGAAAAAACGAAGAATTAAAAACAGAAAATCTAAAATCAAGTCGAAAAAATCGAAAGATTTGAAAAATTCGAAAACTTGAAAAATTTAAATATCGAAGAACTGAAATGAAAAATCGAGAAATCGAAAATTATAAATATCAAAAAGTTCAAAAATTAAAATATCAAAAACATTGAAAAATCCGAAATTTAAAAATCGAAAAATTGAAAAATCGAAAGAATAAAAAAATCGACACTGAGAAATCCAGAAGTCAAAAATCGAAAAGTCGAAGAATCGAAATATTGAAAAATCCCAAATCTAAAATATCCAAAAACCGAAAAATTAAAGAAAACTGAAAAATGGAAAACTGAGAAATCAAAAACCTGTAAAATCGAAAAATTGAGGAATTGAAGGACTGGAAATTTGAAACAGTCGAAAGTCAAGAAATATGAAAATCAAAACATCGATTAATTGAAAAATCGAAAAATTGAGAATTTAGAAAAGTCAAAAATTGAAAAATTTAAAAATCGATATATTTTAAAATCGTAAAATTGAAAACAAAAATTGGAAAAACATACCACCGAAGCATCGGAACATTGAGAAATTGAAAAACTGAGCAATCGAAAAATTGAAAATCAGGAAATTGAAAAACTGAGAAATTGTAAAATTGAAAAACTGAGAAATTGTAAAATTGGAAAATGAAAGAAAAATTGAAGAATGGAAAAACAGAAAACTCAAAATTGAAGTATCCAAAAACTGAGAAATTAAAAAATTGAAAAATTAAAATATCAAAAAATTGAAAAATCGAAAAAGAAAGAAAATCGACAGATCAAAAAATCCAGAAATCAAAAATCGAAGAACCGAGATATTGAAAAATCCCAAAATTAAAATATCGAAAAACTGAAAAATTACAGAAAAACTGAAGAATGGAAAAACTGAAAATCTCCAAAACTGAAATATCCAACAACTGAGAATCTAAAAAATTGAAAAATTGAAGCAGTCGAAAGTCAGAAAAAGGGAAAATCAAAACATCGATTAATTGAAAAATCGAAAAATTTGAGAATTTAGAAAAGCCAGAAATCGAAAAATTGAAAAATCGAAATATTTGAAAATCATAAAATTGAAGAGAAAAATTGAAAAAACGTAAAACCGAAACATCGGAACAGTGAGAAACCGAAAAATTGAAAAATGAAAGAAAAACTGAAAAATTCCAAAACTGAAATATCCAAAAACTGAGAATCTAAAAAATTGAAAAATCAAAAACCCGTAAAATCGAAAAATTGAGGAATTGAACGACTGGAAAATTGAAACAGTGGAAAGTCAAGAAATGGGAAAATAAAAACATCGATTAATTGAAAAATCGAAAAATTTGAAAATTTAGAGAAGTCAGACATTGAAAAACTGAAAAATCGAAATATTTAAAAATCGTAAAATTGAAGACAAAAATTGAAAAAACGTAAAACCAAAAGAAACATCGGAACATTGAGAAATCGAAAAATTGAAAATCAGGAAATTGAAAAACTGAGAAATTGTAAAATCGAAAAATTGAAAAATGAAAGAAAAACTGAAGAATGAAAAACTGAAAAAACTCAAAATTGAAATATCCAAAAACTGAGAAATCAAAAAATTGAAAAATGAGAAATCAAATAGGCAAAAAAGTGAATTCGAAAAATCAAAAACCTAAAAAACTTAAAAATTGAAGAATTGAAGAAATGAAAAATAGAGAAACTGAGAATTTATAAAAGTCAAATTAGAAAAGTTGCAAAAACCAAATATTTAAAAATCGTAAAATTGAAGAGGAGAAAAATCAAAAATCGTAAAATTGTGAAATTGAGAAATTGTAAAACGAAGAATTGAATAATAAATAAACTGAAAAATCCTAAAATTGAAATTTCCAAAAATGGAAAAATGAAAGAAAAACTAAAAAATCCCAAAACTGAAATATGCAAACACTAAAAAATTTTAAAAAATTAAAAATTGAGAAATCGAAAAATCAAAAATGTGAAGTGGAAAAATCGAAACCTTGAAAAACGGAAAAATAGAAAAATCAAAAGCCTGAAAAATAGAAAAATTGAAGAATTGAGAAACTAAAAAATCGAAACAGTCGAAAGTCAAGAAATAGGAAAATCAAAACATCTTTAAACTTTACTATTGTTTCTCGTTATAAGGGTCCCCGACTCAATTCCGTAAATACACTGTACACTTCGTTCTGTATTTCTTTCAGTATTTCCTTTCCCAAAGAATGAGTTCTTGAGGCTGTTATAGGTTTTGACTCGTTCGATTCTTTGTCGATTTAGTTTTATTTTGTGCCATTTGTCTTTCTCCGCCGTTGCCATAGTGTTTATTTTGTCTCTAGATATAAACATAGAAATAAATATTTCTGTTTATTTTTTCTGGTTCTTTTTCTGATTCGGCCACAATCACCATATCAGGGGCAAATAACAATTCTAGGAATCTTATCTAGTTCTCCTCCGCAGAAAGATTCAACAGAAACTAAAATTTCCTAGCAAGGGTCAAGCAATGCGAGAGTTGGTCGAGAATTTAAGAAACTGAACTAAGAAAGAGAACTAAATTTTTGATTTCCTTTATTTACATCGTTTATTTTTATGTTTTTTTTTTTCATTTGTGAAGCAACTGTTTTTTTGACATTTATTTGACGCACTTTTGGATGATAAATTACCGACATGTGTCATCGTTTGCCCTTCCCTTATTTCTCTATCAAGGTACACTAATTACATTCATTTGACATTAAGTCATTCAGCTGATAGCTGTTTATCGTGGTCCTGGTTATCAGACTTTTTGTTGATAAGTACGGTATCAGTTTATTAAAAAAAATTACAATTCGGTTACAGGTTGGTGTCCCCCAAAACCGCATACGGGACGTAGAATTACCGCATGAAGTCACCACTGAGTTCTAGCCTGTTAGCCGAATTTATAGCAATGACGAGTACATTACGCACTCTGTAGAATTACAAAAGTAGAGTAACGACAGTTTAATGAGTCTGGCGGTATAAAAAGAAAATTATTTTTGCCCGCGCTGCCGTTAAACGCCGTACGTGAGCTTCCAGTTTTCTAGCCGATGCAGGCGCAACTTATTTGTTGTTCCTTCAGATCAAAGCACCAAATCGACATTTCTTTATTTGTTTTTGCCGGCTATTTACTTCGCATAAATCCATCACAGACGCGTCACTAAGTCTGAACCTGGATCGAAAACAAAACCTCTACCCAGAAATCGCGTTTACGACTTCGCGTTATTCGCTTGTTTTGTAGGTGTAGTGGATTGGATTGAAAGGGGCGTAATAACGTGGTGGCAAACTGCGTAAACATGTTTTTCAGGGGAAAAGTTGTTTGTATGAGTGCCACGTGGACGCGATATAAAGAGTGTTAATAGGCGGAAAAATCCCGATAAATCAAAAGAAGTTGCTGTTCTTTCCTGGTAATTCAGACTAGCGCGCTAACGCAGACGATTAAATTTTCTGTGGAAAACAACACAGATTTAGCTCGAGCATTATATTGTGTTTGTATTTCGATCGATTCCACCGCTGCCACCAAAACGATGTTGTGCACTGATTTTAATTTTCAGCTGGACTGAATGCAGCCGGACTTGCGGAGGCGGTGTCAAGTACACCAAACGCTTTTGCGACACGCCCGTCCCCAGGAACGGCGGCGCTTACTGTACCGGAAGTAGCGTCCAGTACTTGTCCTGCAACACACAGTCCTGCGGGAACGACGTCCCCGATTTCAGGGAAGTACAGTGTTCGGAGTTCGACGGGATCACGAAAAATCTTGCCAACTTGACGAATGACGTCCAATGGGTACCTAAGTATGGCCTGGGTAGAAAAGAGGATCTGTGCAAGCTGTACTGCAGACCCAAGAACTCCAACGCCTACTATCCTTTGAAGGAAAAGGTCATAGACGGGACGAAATGTGGCATGAACTCGTTCGATATCTGCGTGAACGGGATTTGCAGACCGGGAGGATGCGATAATAAGTTGAACTCGAAGGTTGAGTTAGGTGAGTGGGTGGTTCGTGGAGGGAAGAGGTGTATATGGTTGTTTTAGATGAGTGCGGGATTTGTGGAGGGGATAACAGTAAGTGTCAGGAGGTTACCGGGAATTATAATATTTCGAGGACTGGGTACCATATGGTACTGAGGATTCCGAAGGGGAGCTCGAATATTGATGTTAGGCAGAACGCCAACAACGATACAAACTATTTGGGTAAGGTTAATGAGGGTTTTAATGAGGGTTTCATCGATTCTTCACTGATCGAGCTCATACATATATATTTTTTGTTCTAGTACTCGTTGACGGTGAAACTGGAGAGTATGTCCTTAATAGTAAAACCATGATCGCTCCTCAGCAGAAGGACGTGATTTCTGGGGGTGTCATCATCAACTATAGCGGTTCTTCGGCAGCCGTTGAGCGCATCACCACCCCCAAGAACCACAAGCTAACCAAAGACTTGGTCCTGTGGATACTTTCCATCGGGGAAGCCCGGCCACCGGACATCACTTACAGATACATAATAAGCGAAGAAAGTGCCCCTCGGTAAGTACCTGCACCCCTACAACCACGTTTTATTTATTTGCCGCACCAGGTTCAGTTACAGTTATAAAAGCTTCGTCCGGAAGATCCCCCCCAGGTAACTTGTCGTCTCGATGTTGTCTCTAATCTACTACCCGTGCTGTTCTCTCTCTAATTCCTCTAATTGTCGGTAATCACTTTCCCTTTCTTTTCTTGATTCTTCATTATCTCTAGGTACGGATGGAGTTTGTACGGGAACAAATGGTCCAAGTGCAACTCAATCTGCAACGGTACCCAGTACATGAACCCCGTGTGCGTGGAACTGGCCACGAATTCCGAACAGTCCGACTCGTACTGCTCAGAGTTCGACAAGAAGCACCGAACCCAGAAACGGGACTGCAACGTCCACTGCCAGCTGCGCTGGACCGACGTGTCGCGTGGACCCTGTTCCGTCAACTGCGGCGAAGGGTACTCCCCGACCCCAGTCGTACTCCGGTACTACTTGTGTGTTTCAGGTTGCGAACCGTCAACCACCAGTGCATGAAAATCGACACAACCAAAGAAAACTACGACCACTACTACGAAGTGGTTGACCACAAGCACTGCAACCACTTGCGTAAACCGCCGGACCACGAGCCGTGCCAGGGGTTGTGCGAGTCGACGCGATGGGAGTACACCAGCTGGTCTGAGGTGAGTACCGAGGTTTGTCGGTTTCGGGTACTTAGTCTGGTTGCAGTGTTCGGTGACGTGCGGCGGCGGGACGCAGCGCCGCAGCGCCAAGTGCGTGGATGACAGTAGTCACGTGATGGACGATTCGCACTGTTTCAAGAGTGAGAAGGTGACGGAGCAGGTGTGCAACGTCCGGAAGTGCCCGGTTTGGGAGTCCAGGGAGTGGACGCCGTGTTCGGTTACGTGTGGACGAGGCTTTCGGACCAAGCCCTATTTCTGTCATGTTGATGGGAAGGTTCTGGACCCGTCGGCGTGCGATTCGCGGCAACGACACATAGAGAAGGAAGACTGCTTTGAGAGGCCGTGTGCTGGATGGTCTGTGGGTGGGTGGAGCGAGTGTTCGGCGACCTGCGGCGATGGTAAGAATTCGGGTTATCTTTCTGGGTTCATCAAGTCTTCTGATGTTACAAGAACTGTTGCCATTGTTTTGCTAATCGAGATTCACACTCCCAAATGTAGATGACGTTCTAACACTTCCCCTCGAGTCAAAGGTCGCGAGATTTAATGTTTCCCACTTCGAGCGGTTGAGCTTCGTCGGCTAAATAAGAGCAGCTACATTATTTACTGCATCTTCCTTACAATATATATTTTTAATAACCAGAAGTGCCTCTTTCATGAATGAGAAGCCGCCCTAAATTGAATCAACAAAATTTCACCTTAAATAAAAATTGGTCCTATGTTATTTCGAAAGAACTTCTCTCGCCCCTGAAGTGCATTCCAAGAAATCCCACTTCTTTAAAAATTATGAAGAATTTTTGCGATTTTTGTTTTCTGATAACCTCTACAAGGTAAAGACCAGAGTTTTCAAGTTTAAATTTTTCAGTTATTCAATTTTTCAACTTTTGAATGTGTCAATTATTAGATTTTGCAAATTTTCAATTTGAGTTTCTCGAGTTTTCAATTTTTAATTGTTCAATTTTTCGATTTACAATTTTTCGTTTCAGTTTATTTTACTTTTTCGATTTTTCAATGTTTCGATTTAATAATTTCTCGTTTTTTCAGTTTTAATTTTGTGAATTTTTCGTTTCATCAATTCTTTTTTTTTACTTTATTTTTTCGATTTTTCAGTGATCTGTTTTTATATTTCTTTTTTTCGATTTGCAACTTTCCTAGTTTTCATTTTAAATGTGTAATGATAATTTTTAATATTTTTCACTTTATTAATTTTACAATTTTAGAATTTTTTTGTTTTTCAATTTGTGGATGTTGAAACTTTCTCATTTATTCTACTTTTCAATTTTTCGATAATTTAATTTTTCAGTGTTTTGATTCAATAATTTTGTTTTTTCAATTTTTCGTTTCTTCAATTCTTCGTATTCTTTAATCTTTCATTTCTTCAAATTTTCGATTTGCAATTTTTCTAGTTTTTATTTTAAATATGTAATAATAATTTTTAATATTTTTCACCTTTTCAATTTTACAATTTTAGATTTTTCCAATTTTGTTACGTTTTCATTTATTCGACTTTTGAATTATACGATTTTTTATTTTTTAATTTTTTGATTATTCGAATTTTCATTTCTTCAAATTTTAAATCTGCAACGTTTCGGTTTTCAATTTTCCGATTTTCAGCTTTTAGATTTTTGAACTTTTTCAATGTTAGATTTTTCAGTTTCTCGATTTTTCAATTTTTCGTTTTTTCAATTTTTTGATCTTGCAATTCTCCAATTTGAGTTTCTCGATTTTTCAATTTTTAATTTTATAATTTTTCGATTTACAATTTTTCTTTTCGGTTTTTTATTTTCTGTAGTGTTTCGATTATTCCATTTTTCAATGTTTCGATTAATAATTTTTCATTTTTTCATTTTTAATTTTGTCAATTTTTCGTTTCTTCAATTCTTCGATTTATTAATCTTTCATTTCTTAAAATTTCCGATTTACTATTTTTTTTGTTTCGGTTTTTTATTTACTTTTTTTCGCTTTTTGGTTTTTCAGTGTTCTGATTTTATATTTCTTTTTTCGGTGTGAAAATTTTCAATTTTTCGGTTTTCTATTTTTCGATTTGCAATTTTTCTAGTTTTCATTTTAAATATGTAATAGGCGTAATAATTGTACTCCTAATATTTTTCACTTTTTCATTTATTCTACTTTTCAATTTTTGATTTTTAATTTTTCAATTTTTCATTTCTTCAAATTTTCAATCTGCAATTTTTTAGAAGTTCTCAATTTTTCGCTTTTTTAGCTTTTAGATTTTTTAATTGTTTGTTATTTCAATTTTAGATTTTTCAGTTTATTGATTTTTCAATTCGAGTTTCTCGCGTTTTTAATTCCTAGTATTTCAATTTTTCGATTTACAATTTTCTGTTTCGGTTTTATATTTTCTATATTTTTTTGATTATTCGATTTTAAGTTTGGCAATTTTTCGGTTCTTCAATTCGTTAATTCTTTAATCTTTCATTTCTTCAAATTTTCAATTTGCAATTTTCGTTTCGATTTTTTATTTACTTTATTGTTTCAGTTTATCGGTTTTTCAATATTCCGATTTTATAATTACTTATTACTATTAATTTTTCAGGCTTCTATTTTTCGATTGCAATTTTTCTACTTTTCACTTTAAATATGTAATAATATTTTTTTGTTTCAATTTTAGAATTTTAGAATTTTTCAGTTTTTGGATTTTTCATTTCTTCAAATTTTCAATCAGAAATTTTTCGTTTTTTAAATTTTTAGATTTTGCAATTCTTCAATTTGAGTTTCTCGAGTTTTCGGTTTTTAATTTTTCAATTTTTCGATTCACAATTTATCGTTTCGGTTTTTTATTTACTTTATTTTTTCAGTTTTTCGGTTTTTCACAATTTTAATTAAATAAATGTTTTTCAATGTGAAAATTTTCAATTTTTCGGTATTTATTTTTCGATTTGCAATTTTTATAGTTTTCACTTTAAATATTTAATAATACTTCTATATTTTTCTCTTTTTCAATTTTCCAATTTTAGAATTTTTCTATTTTTCAATTTTTGGATGTTAAAACATTTTCATTTATTCGACTTTTCAATTTTTTAATATTTCAATTTTTGAATTCTTCAATTTTTCATTTCTTCAAATTTTCAATCTGCAATTTTTCGATTTTTCAACATTTAGATGTTTTAATTTTTTGGTTTTTTAATTTTAGATTTTTCAGTCTTTCGATTATTCAGTTTTTCGTCTTTTCAATTTTTAGGTTTTGTAAGTATGCAATTTGATTTCTCGACTTTTCACTTTTTGATTTTTCGATTTACAATTTGTCCTTTCGATTTTTTATTTTATTAATTTTTTCGATTATTCGATTTTAAGTTTGTCAATTTTTTGGTTCTTCAATTCGTTGATTCTTTAATCTTTCATTTCTTCAAATTTTCGTTTCGATTTTTTATTTACTTTATTGTTTCAGTTTTTCGGTGTTTCAATGTTTCGATTTTATAATTACTTTTTTTTTCAATGTGAAAATTATTAATTTTTCAGGTTTCAATTTTTCGATTGCAATTTTACTACTTTTTACTTTAAATGTATAATAATATTTTTTTGTTTCAATTTTAAAATTTTAGAATTTTTCAGTTTTTCAATTTTTGAACGTTAAAACGTTTTGATTGGTTCGATTTTTCAACTTTTAGATTTTTGAATTTTTTGTTTTTTTTTAATTTTAAATTCTGTCTTTCGATTATTCAGTTTTTCGTTTTTTCAATTTTTAGGTTTTGTAATTATGCAATTTGACTTTCTCGACTTTTCAGTTTTTAATTTTTCAATTTTTAGATTTACAATTTTTCGTTCCGGATTTTTATTTTTTATTTTTTTTCGATTATTCGATTTTTCAATTTAATAATTTTTCATTTTTTCAATTTTAATGTTGTCAGTTTTTCGTTTCTTCAATTTTTGGATTTTTTCATCTTTCATTTCTTCCAATGTTCGATTTGCAATTTTTAGTTTCGGTGTTTTTATTTACTTTCTTTTTCGATTTTTCGGTTTTTCAATGTGGCATTTTTCAGATCTAGGATTTTTAAATTTTTCGGTTTTTTTATTTTTTGATTTGCAATTTTTCTAGTTTTCATTTTAAATATGATGTAATAGTAATTTTTGATGTTTTTCACTTTTTTTTCGATTGTTGGATTTAAAATTTTATCATTTATTCAACTTTTCAAGTTTTCGTTTCTTCAAATTTTCAGTCTGCAATTTTTCGATTTTTCAACTTTTAGATTTTTAAATTTTTTTGTTTTCTCGATTGTAAATTTTTCACTATCGGTTTTTCAATTTTTCGTTTTTTAAATTTTTAGATTTTGCAATTTTTCAATTTTTCGTTTCGGTTTCTTATTTGCTATATTTTTTGGATTATTCGATTTTTCATTGTTTCGATTTAATTAATTTTTCGTTTTTCCAATTTTAATTTTGTCAACTTTTCGACTAAGAAAATGGAAAAGTGGCAAAAATGAAAAAAAAAAGTATAAAATAAAAACTAAAAAACCTAAAAATTGGAAATCAACAATTTGAAAAATTGAAGAAACGTAAATTGAAAGACCGAAAGATAAAAATTGAGAAATTTAAAATCGAATCAATTCAAAATCGAAAGAACGAAATATAGATTATAGAAAAATTCAAAAAGTAGAAAATCGTGGAATAATTGAGTAAATGAAAAATTATAAAATCCAAAGAAATATTGAAAAAATAAAGGAAATGAAAAAACGAAAAATTGTGATATCAAATAAAATTAAGAAAATGGAAATTAAAAATTCGAGAAAATGAAAAGTAAAAATCAAGAACTGGAAAAATTGAAGAAAGGAAATCCTGAAAAATCGATATATTAAAATGAAAATTTGTAACCTCAAAAAATTGGTCGAAGCTCAATAAAGTCAGATTTTTCAAAAAATAATTTTATTTTTTTAAAATAACCTTTATAAGTTAAAGTATGATATGTAAAAAGTATGTAGGGAAAATTGAGTGAGTTGTTCTTGATTTTGATCAATACAATAAACTGCGTCACATATTTATTTGAGTCACCCTGTATAAGCAATTCTAAAATCTATGAATGTGTTGACAAGTCATCAGTCGTAACAATTTTAATATTTCAGAGATATTTCTGATACACATATACAATTTGACAACAATCGGTCCAGTAGTTTCGGAGATTATCTAATAAAAATTCGGACAGATCGCAGACAGATAGACGGAAACGGGAGACCCTATTTTTTCATATTCTAGGGGTCATGAAACCTTTAGAAGTAACCAGGCGCCCAGTGGACTCGATTACAATACTTCCTTAGCTCACGCTTACTTTTATCTCAGGTATCAGCAACCGCAAAGTCATCTGTCGCAACCTCGACGACAACCAACCCATCCAAGAAACATTCTGTGCCGGAATTCTCAAACCCAACGACACCAAATTCTGCAAAATCACGGACTGCACCCAAACGTTGCCCTACCAGAGGCGATTCGACAACGACATTATGACAAATTCCATCACCAGTTACGACAGAGGATTCCGCTGGATCACGGGAGCTTGGAGCCCATGCTCGAAATCCTGCGGAGGTGGAATCAGCTCAAGAATGGTGGTGTGTAGGAACGAGTTTGGCGAAGAACATGAGAAATTCTGTCCCTTGAACGTGGTCCCAGTGAATAGGATCGACTGCAACACCCATCAGTGCCCCCACTGGGAGTACGGAGGGTGGAGTGAGTGTGATGCCAAGACTTGTGTGAAGATGCGACAGGTATGTCAAGGTATTATGTATGTTAACCGAATTTGCGACGTTTTTATTTTAAGGTTAACTGTCGCAACTCGACTGGCAGCTTCGTCACAAACAATCAATGTGACAATAAGACTCGGCCTCCAGAAGTCACCCCTTGTAAGCCATCGCAGTGTCATTCCTACGTTCACTATAACAACGACCCGTACAAATGGTCGGTGGGTAAATGGAAACCGTGCTCGACGATGTGTGGCGAAGGTAAAAAGTATCGCCATCTGGTGTGCAAGAACGTGCAACTGCAAAGCGTGGTGGTGGACAACTACTGCAGACATCTACCGAGGCCCAAGACTAACGTCACGTGTGAAAAATATATGTGTAGTAATTACGCATGGGTGACCACTGCGTGGTCACAATGTTCGGCTTTTTGTGGAGAGGGGGTGAGAAATAGGAGCGTTACGTGTCACCGGGTGTACCAAAAGGGCGCCGTGGACCATAATCCTCTGAGCTTTGATAAGTCGAGGTCTAGGGACTACTGCGACTGGCACCAGAGACCCGACGATAAGGAGATGTGCATGGGGAATCAGTGCAACGAGGTGTACGTCTGGAGGAGTGAACCCTGGAGGGAGGTAAGTTTTTTTTATTTCGTACTTCAAAGTATTCACTCTACGTTTCAGTGTTCCCATACCTGTGGAAAAAAAGGCCGAACTACCCGACAAGTGTATTGCTACAATTTAAAAACGCACCAGAAAGTGGAAAAAAGGCACTGTTCAAGGCATGCGAAACCGAGGCGACGTGCGAAATGTAACCAGTGGAGATGTACGTCTTTGACTAAACTCATTCACGATCAGTTTACTCACCTAATTGCATTTTCAGGTCTGTTTAGAAGTTGCAAAGAGATTCAACATCGCATGAAAACACGAGTCAACAAGGATTACTTAATCACAATTCGGAACAAACCCGCCAGGGTGTACTGCTACAAAATGGACACCAACCAGCCCGAGGAGTACATAACGTTGCATGCGGACGGTGTGAACTACGCTGAAAACTACGACAAACGGTATGTTTTCCAAATTAATTTAACAAGGTGGATTCATAAACGACAAGTATTATGCAGATTGAAGAACCCTCACTCCTGCCCCTACGACGGGCGCCGCGTCGAAAACTGCGACTGCCTGCCGATCGGTCCCGAGCGTTCCGGCCGCACCATCTTCTGGAAGGTCCGTCTCAACATCACGTCGCTTCGCATCATCGGTAATTTGGCATCCCTCTGGGAGCGTTTCAGTGTGTATGTTTTTACCAGGTGACGACTTCACGTTTTCGCGCCAAATCAGCGGCATGAGGGTGCCGTATGGCACCGCTGGAGACTGCTACAGCGCCGTCGAGGGGTGTGCCCAAGCACGGTTTTCGATTGATTTGGCTGGGACGTCGTTCAGGCTGGCGGGACACGTGCGGTGGCAAAGTATAGGGAAGTACGCCAGTGTGCGAACGGTGACGACGGTCAGTATATGGGGGATGGGTAACGACGTCAATGTTGTGTTTTTTCTTTGTAGGAGAGGAGGGTCGATGGATTGTGCGGGGGTTACTGCGGGAATTGCGTTCCCGAGCCTGGGATTGGTCTACACGTGGAAATTACTTAGTCCGGTATTACAAAACTAATCAGTATTCTTAGCGTAAAGAACAAATCACAACTGCCATAGCGAATCGTACTGCGAAAAATCTACTGCCAAAATCGTGTTTATTATTGTACGACGTGTTTTTGTCTCATATTGAGGCGCTAAATATTGTTTATGTATAGCTATGCTGCTATTTGTACTTTTTTATACACTTTCTTATATTCTAGTGATGTGTATATATTTAACTAATTTATTGCATTAAGTGCCTGCCATCTTGTAAATGTATTGTAATTTATTGTTAACGTTTTTTGTATTAACACTAATTTATATAAGTTTGGAGTTTTATTTTTGTCCCTGTTTCCTCTGATCGTCGTGACGCAATCGAACTGTTATTGCTACTACTGACGTAAGTTCTCAACCCTTCGTCTCGTTATTCATTTAGTTTGTTCTTGTTAATTTTCTCAACTTGTTACTGTTGTTTCATTCTTCCTTTCCTTCTTCTCTTCGAAACTGGATTAAAACTAACACGTTGTGTAAATTTGTTTGATTGCTTGTAAATTCACAGTTCATGTCAGGATTTTGATCGTTAATTAGTTCTAACACAATTTAACAGTCAGGAATTATTTAGATAGAGCATTTACTAGGAGAGTTCATGAAATTCACTCAATCAGGATAACACCCTCTGTTTACAAAGTTATGAATAGGTTTCTGGATGCTTACGTAAGTGTTAACACTTCTTTATTCTTCACACATGATTGCTAATAATTCATTTACGGCAGTTAAATTAGCTTAACGTTGTCCGACTGTGGAAAAAGATAATATCGTGGACTGAAGTACAGGGGGATTAAAGATTTCTCTCCTTATGCAGTTATCATCGTTATTATCATCGTATCATCATCACATCACCGAGACATTTATCTCGTAACGTCGAAAACTATATGGAGCAACGAAACCATCAAATTTTAGCTAGAATCAGTATTTTTGTCGATTTTTATTAAATCTGAACTATTTTTCAACATTTTTTGATGATTCTGAGCGACGAAACACACTTAGAGCATGCAGAATCGTCTCAGATTAGGAAAAGGAGACGTTTGGGTCAATTTTATGCATTCTGGCGTTCGTAGATACATGAAAATTGTTAAAATTCTTCAGAAGCGTCACTTTTGAAGTGTTTTCTTGTAGTTTTAAGCCAATCAGAAACCCAACGGGCTCGGAAAGAGCAACGAAACCATCAAATTTTAGCTAGAAACAATATTTTTGTCGATTCTTATTAAATCTGAAATATATTTCAACATTTTTTGATGATTCTGAGCGACGAAACACACTTAGAGCATGCAGAATCGTCTCAGATTAGGAAAAGGAGACGTTTGGGTCAATTTTATGCATTCTGGCGTTCGTAGATACAAGAAAATTGTTAAAATTCTTCAGAAACGTCACTTTTGAAGTGTTTTCTTGTAGTTTTAAGCCAATCAGAAACCCTACGGGCTCGGAAAGAGCAACGAAACCATCAAATTTTAGCTAGAAACAGTATTTTTGTCGATTTTTATTAAATGTGAACTAAATTTCAACATTTTTTGATGATTCTAAGCGACGAAACACACTTAGAGCATGAAGAATCGTCTCAGATTAGGAAAAGGAGACGTTTGGGTCAATTTTATGCATTCTGGCGTTCGTAGATACAAGAAAATTGTTAAAATTCTTCAGAAACGTCACTTTTGAAGTGTTTTCTTGTAGTTTTAAGCCAATCAGAAACCCTACGGGCTCGGAAAGAGCAACCAAACCATCAAATTTTAGCTAGAAACAGTATTTTTGTCGATTTTTATTAAATGTGAACTAAATTTCAACATTTTTTGATGATTCTAAGCGACGAAACACACTTAGAGCATGAAGAATCGTCTCAGATTAGGAAAAGGAGACGTTTGGGACAATTTTATGCATTCTGGCGTTCGTAGATACAAGAAAATTGTTAAAATTCTTCAGGAACGTCACTTTTGAAGTGTTTTCTTGTAGTTTTAAGCCAATCAGAAATCCTATGGGCTCGGAAAGAGCAACGAAACCATCAAATTTTAGCTAGAAACAGTATTTTTGTCGATTTTTATTAAATGTGAACTAAATTTCAACATTTTTTGATGATTCTAAGCGACGAAACACACTTAGAGCATGAAGAATCGTCTCAGATTAGGAAAAGGAGACGTTTGGGTCAATTTTATGCATTCTGGCGTTCGTAGATACAAGAAAATTGTTAAAATTCTTCAGGAACGTCACTTTTGAAGTGTTTTCTTGTAGTTTTAAGCCAATCAGAAATCCTATGGGCTCGGAAAGAGCAACGAAACCCTCAAATTTTAGCTAGAAACAGTATTTTTGTCGATTTTTATTAAATCTGAACTATATTTCAACATTTTTTGATGATTCTGAGCGACGAAACACGCTTAGAGCATGCAGAATCAACGTTGGATAATTACATCACCGAACAGCTTCCCTCGCAACGCCTGATACATTTTGTGTTGGTAATTTATCATGTGTTTTGTTTGGAATAAACAGTTCACGTTATAAACTCTCAAAGCTAATTGTTTTAAGTCACCAGTCACTTGGATCGAGGCATCATTTAACATAATGTAAATTCTTTGTTTTGGCAGCGGCCATGTTGAAACAGTATTTTCAAACCGAGCACATGTTTGAACTGTTGCTAGCTTTCCAAATTTTCACCTCACACAATTTTTCTATCTCAAAATTTTAGCGTTAGTAATTTTTTTGTTGTGGTTTCTAACCTCACGTAATATTTTTATTTGCACAAGTCTTACTTCACACCAGATCTTTTTGTTTTTATAAATCTTTATATAAGTTTTGGTTTTGTAAATATTTTGTTGATTAATGCTTCCATCATAAATTGTGTGATGTTCGATCTTAATCTCAAATAAGAATTATTTGTTGTTGAAAATTTCACAAGATTATATGGCAAATTTAAATGTTGTTTATTGCTCTTTAGGAAACTTTAACACTTGTTCAGTTGTCGTTAATATCAGAATCATAAGAAACAAGAATTGAACATTTAAAATGGAATTGAGGTAAATAACACCGAAATACGTAACAGAAGCGGAGGGCGCGGTTTCTAGTCGAGCTAGCAGGATTTATCGCACTATCTGCACAAAGGATGCAGGTTTTGTATAGAAGTCATAGAGAATTGCTTTGCGGGAGTGCTTGCGACAGATAGAATCACCGTCGTGGGTAGGAGAACAGCCACGACCAGGAGCCCCAAACTCAGTTGGGTATTTTTGCTGTGCTCTAGACTGAAATTGATATACTCATAGTTCGATTGCCACATTTCTGCTATCTCGCTTTATAGCGGTTTGGTGCCGCTGCCGTTGCATAGTTTTTTTCATTAAAATTTTGTGCACTTATTGAATGCCATATTTTAAATTTACCGCCACACGCCCCTAATAACTTGTATATTTGCATTCAGTTACATTAATTCAGATTTTGCTTCGTTTTTATTAAATTTGTGATTTTCAAATATTTGCATTGATTCGGAACGTTTAATTTGATTCCATTCAAAGTTTTTTTTGTAGCTGAGTATTAAGCGGTGTCTTCAACGGACACAACTTATTCGCCGCAGCTTTTTTGTGTCCTCCACAGCCTAAGTGATGGGGAATCAATCAAACTGATGCTATTCAGGGTTTATCTGATCACGATCATCACGAAAATTATGAAGTTGAGCAGTCATTTTTAATTTTTAAAACATTTTAACATCTAGGAAAACTCGTATAACTGACGAAAACCTAGAAAAAGTAGTCATTGTTATTAAGAATTCTCGAAGTTGTAGGCCACGACTGCAATAGCGCTGGCGATCGGACGGCAAAGAGCTATGCTTCCGCTATAACGAAGTCTGCTTATTACAAAGTGCAAGAGATCCCGTGGGAGAACCTTCAGTTAAATATTCAGATGGGTTTCGAATTCTAGGGAATACAAAAACTGGAGGCACAGTGCCCACAATAGCATTGTTAATTCCTACAAACGTCACACTTTTACTTTTACCGGTTTTGAAGCAGTGGTTATACCCGTTTCATTTAAATTCCGTATCTGTTGAGCATCAAAATTGTATTTTTCTAAGACAGTACAATACTTTCTAAAAAATTCTTCTTAAACTTGGTTCCCGCAATTACAAGTCATTGTGTCTCTTAAGAAAGCCGTGTAACCAGTCGATTCCTGCTATTTCGTTTTCTTCCGATCTTTCGGGCATGTGGCATTATGATTTGCTTTTGCGTACTGATATGCAATTAACCTGTGGCGACACAATAATAAGTAGTAAGTAAACGAAGAAAGATAAGCAGCTCTGTAGTCTAGTGGCCAGGACACCCGCCCGGCAAGCGGGAAAAGCGTGGTTCGATTCCCACCGGGGCAACAAGATTTTCTTCGCTTACCCGGTGACCCCGACAGGCAACACGCACGTGTACGCACGCACCACTTGAGCTCTTGAAAATACTTGTTTAGTGGTATATTTGCTGTTGTATTTTGGCGTATTGGTTTCGCTGTCGTGTCCCGAATCGTCGCTTTTGATTAAGTCTTCTCTCTTCTTTTTCTTTAATAGCCTCTTAGTTCTAAATTGGAGTGTAGGGCGTTTTATACCGTACTCTCGAGCAACTTGCTTTATTTTCATTGAATTCTTAAGGCAATTCTTTAAAGCAACTATCATGTCATTTCCATCAATATCGGTCCTATTTGTTTTTTTTACATAGTTGCGAAGCATCTGCAAAAAAATGATTCGTAGTAATTTAAAAATACATATAATGAGAATAGTACTTAAAAAACGCTGTAGGGTACATTCGGCACCGTGCTGATTTTACCCCATATCAATGACGAATTTTTCCCAATTAAAATTATACAACAAAGAAAATTACTGAGGCTAAAATTATGAGATAGAGAAAAATTGGATGAGGTGAAAATTACAAAGCTAACAAATTTACATGAGATTAATACTTGCCACACTTTATCAACGATTCAAACAAAGATTTTACATTATGTTAAATTATATCTTGATCCAAGTGATTGGTTACTTAAAATAATTAACTTTGAGAGTTATCGTGAACTGGTTACCCCAACAAAACACATATAAATAAACACAAAAATATACAGTCCAGTTTTAGCGTTGCGAGGAAATGCCTCGGTGGTAATCAATCTTTAATGTTGGGAGGAAATACCTCGGTGATGTTAATGTAACTGCCGTAAATGAACTATTAGGAATCTTGTGTGAAGAATTAAGAAGTGTTATAATGTAACACTTACGTATTAACATCCAGAAACTTATTTATAATTAGACAAACAAAATGAAACGAGTCCTGGCTCAGTGAATTTCATAAAATCTCCTAGCAAGTGTCCGTTAAATTGAGTTATCAGCAGTTAGCGATTAAAATCCTAACCTGATCGGTGAATTTACAAACAATGAATCAAATTTACAGGGATTGGCGTCGTTTAAAAATTCACGATTGGGGAAAACTGTGACGTAGCCATTACGAGTAATTTTCGTCAAACAAAGGCTTCCTCCCCTTTATTAACTACCAAGGCAACTAATTTAACCTAGCTAACTTACAGCGTCTTTTCACCATGCACCCATACACACCACCAAAACAATAATGACGATTTCAACATGGTCGTTATCTTCTACCAAACCGCCCCCTCATAACCAACCCTGTAACTAACAAGCAGAACTACCAACTACCCAACAAGCGTTACGGTGCATATGGTTGCCTATGTTTAACGATTTTTTTATTGAAATTTTTTCTCAAATTCAAATTATTCAAATGTGATTTCGCGCCGCTGTTAATTAAATTCAGTGCGAAAACTTAATTGAGATTCGGTCATCACAAGGTGGTTTTTCGTTGCATTGACTTTAAAACGAAACTAGATTAAATTTTACGTTGGGTTTTTAAGTAATTTTGCGCAATCAACATTGAGAAACAAAAGCTATATTTCACAAATTTCCATCCGCTTTCCAAATGGCGCGATTCCGTGTGCGCGAACATTTACATCAGTGGTACGGTGTCTTCGAGATATTATTGCATATTTTAATGTTAAGTGCATTTTTATGCATATTTTAAAATTGTTGCTGCATTTTTCGAGATAATTGGTGAAAATCTTCATTTTAGTACAATTTTAATACAGTTGGTTATTGGCAGTATGCGGTGAATAAGTACCGACCTTTTCTAGTAATGCGGACGGGTTTTTCCAAGACTTCATTTATGGGCACCCGCAATTAGGCGTATTACTGGAAATCTTTACTTAACGGAGTCTAAGCCGGATGTTGTAAGTATAGATAGTTCTGCAAATGTATTTAACGAGGAGTTGGAAGAGGTGGAATACCTAGAATTGATTTGTAAGTATTTAATTCTTCCATTTCCAAATTCATTCATCATTCGTCTACGAACTTGACGACAGGGCGGTGACATTGCGAATAATTAAACAAATATTTTCCAAACTATCATCGTGGACTGCGCCATACTTAGAGTTTGTTCTAGATGGAGATAGTGCTTTTTGCAATACTTGCGGCAAAGGAGTAACTTTTTAAAATATATTTTCGGTCCTTAGACCAAAGTCTAAGAGAACCAAATAAAAATTATTTAATGTTAATAATACGTAGGTATCTTTTACATAAATAATAATTATTTGTTTTCAATTTTTTTTTAACATTTCAGCCAAAAGGAACATCATAGACCAACGCTGCAGAACGCCTCTTCACAAAAGCAATTGTGAACAAAGAAACTCAACCAGTCTAACTCAAACATCAATACGAGAAACTTTATTTGTTAATACAGCCAAATGAAGAGGAAACATTCAAGTTCAATTTATGCCAGACCATGCTTGCCCCGAATATTTCCTTAAATAAGTTAAGTAATCCTACATTTAATTCATTTTTGGAAAAATACTGTAAAAGGACCATTCCAGACGAAAGCACTCTCAAGAAAACAACTATAAATAAATGTTATACTGAAACAGTTGCTAAAATTAAGACAGATATACAGCAAATTTAATAGGTGGTACTGCGTTTCCGTCTGTCTGTTGTCTGTGTCAATTTTTATTAAACAGATAATCAATTAAAAATAATAGATATATTAGATAATAAATCATTTGCCCGGCGCATCCATCATTTTTTAGTTTCTGCTATTAAGATTTCATCTGTGAAAACAAAACAGATAAGGAAAATTCGAAAAAAAAATATGAGTCAGCATTTTTAATACTAATTTATAAACAAAAATAGCTCGAACATTTTCTAACTTGTAGTAACTAAACATATTTTTGCTCATACCATGTAGTATCCCCATAACGTAACAAAATTACAAACTGAAAAATCGAGTGCATTGACTCTGCATACGGTTTAACATCAGGTGAACATCGTAACTCGCTAATCGGAATCCACCTGTTCAACCCTCGCAAAAACTTTATGACGTCATCCCAAATTGGCTAAGTAAATTTCGGTTGAAATCTATTTAATGATGTATCCATATTATTAACGATATTAGTTTTCTGACATTCTAGACACACATAAAATGTTTAATGCATACTTGAAGCGTCCACAAGGTCGCTTTATAACTATAAAACCCATTAAGTAGATGAAACTTGGCCTGTTCCAGTTCCTCCTACGCGGTTTGGGGGGTATAAAAGTGGCGAGTTTGAATTTTTCGGGCAGTGTTGAGTTGCTAGTTATCTAGAGCTTTCGTAGGTCTTCCCAGTGCAATTTTAGTTAAAACAGGTAAGGGTGTGCATTGGGGGAAAGGGTTTTGATTTTGTTTGTTTGGGTTTCAGACAAGATGTTTGACAGGAAGTTTGTGTTTACTGCTCTTTTCGTCATTTTTGCTACTTTAGGCTTAGAAACCCGCCACACCGTCGAGGCTAGGTACCTTCCTACCAGGTCGAATGGCGACAGAGTGGACAAACTTAAAGAATTACTCAAAGATGTAAGTTTTTTCAAATTGTAAATAGATTGGTAGAAAGTTGCTATTACTGAAATATTTCTGAAAAATTGTTGAATTATTAGATTTAGCCATTCGAGTTAAACGAATTAAAGCATTTTCTTTGAGTGAGAGTGTTGGTGAGCTGAAAAAATAGTAAAGTGAGTAAAGATTAAATTATAATTTTAAATTTAGCAACACACAGTTGACGTTGGCTTCAAAAGTAGTTGGATATTTACATATATTTATTTAAATTTATTGATAAAACACAATGGACAAATTTTGCACATTTTTGAAAGGATTCATCCAGCAAAATTTTCAAATAGAGACCTTATTTTTCATACTCTAGAGCTTTGATATATTTTTCATTTACAAATGTCTGTCTTAAAACCATTTTTAACATTGCAATTAAATTAACATTTCTATAGGCTTTTCTCTCTAGTAGACATAATCATCGTCTTAAGATCATGTGTACATTTAACCAGAGTATTTTAACAAAAAAAAACAGCGTTGTCTTATATTTGAATAATTCCAGCTCCTCGAAAACGAAATCGCAAGAGAAGAATACCAAGCGGATGCCCCTCCAAGGTGGCACCTCGACAGCAGACTCCTCTACAAACGGGAGGTTCCCTCCTACTAAACCCCACGACGACTTCCGGCAATGGACAAGGACCCGATTCTTCCAACGTGATTTTAAACATTCTGTGTCCCAGATAGAGTTTTACCTATTTTTATGACCGACAAAGTGAATTTTTAGATTAGCAGATCTATTTATTTTTATAAATAAGTCTACGGTGGCTCCAAAACTGTTAAAAAAAATGAAGACAAAATTACCACTGGCACCCTGAACCAATTGTGACGTAGTGTAGTCATTATGTTAAGGATGATGTCAATTATTTTGACAATATTATCTTTTACTAAATTTTAGGCATAAGAGAACCGTCCTGGTTTTAGGAAGGTCGTTCACTTTGTGGGTGATAAATGGTGTTTGCATTTGGTGGTGCAATATTTTGACGAAATTTTTATGTGTCGTTTGGATATTGCGTGTGTTGTAATATATGTGCATGAGAATAAATATATGTGAACATCCCCCAAGCTTGAGTTTATTCTCCCATTTTGAGTGAAAGTGTTTGAAGTATTTTGTTTCCATTCAGTAGGATTTCCATGTTTACACTTGGTTAAAACATATAATGGTGGATGCGCCGGGCAAATAATTGAATAATTTAAGGGGACTCGCTAGACGAGGTATAACATTTTTTTGGCTTTTTATATGAAAAAATGATATTAATATAGATGTATCATACATCAGACTGCAGCTTTTTTCATATTCTAGGGCGCAGAGACCAGTTCAATCAATTAAAAAAATACGGCTGAGAAATATCGTAAAAAAGCACCATTGTATGTTTTCTTTTCAAGTTTTTTGAGTCATAACCATCATAGAATCGCTTGAAAATTCGCACATGGATAAAACATTCCTTTTTAGAGGGCGCAGAGTCATTAAATGTTTGTTAGTGGTACAATGTGTTTAAATAATAATGTGTTTATTAAAATCAAAATATACCACAAATTAATGCAAAATACGTAGAATAATTCTAACAGGAATATCAGAGGAAAATTAATGATCTATTGGTTAGCAGAGTTTTTAACAAAAACTAACAAGTATTGAAAAAAAATGGGTATCAATTCGACAGAATTTGAGCAGTTAGTCCAGTACTTTGCCGATAGGAGCGCCACTAAAATTTACGGAAGCGACTTTCCAGGTAAAACCCTTATCGCCTGCTCTACCATAAGCTGATTGTTAGAGTTCTCGGCTGATTTTTCTAATTTATGGCAAGGAACTCAGTTTTATAACAAGCCGCCAGGACCAGCCGTAGTAATCTATTGTTAAGGAAATTTACTTTTACGCAATGAGGTACTATTATAAAACCGAATTAAAACTGGGGAACTATAATATTTTTACTACACTCAGGATCCTGAATTCAATACACATGATTACTAAAAATTCATTGTAATATTATTGTTAATATATATTTTGCTTTGTTAATTAATAAAACTAATAAACATATTTATAATAATAATAAAAAATACATAAAATACAGCTTTTGTTTAACACGTATAAGTAGCTAAGTGTATCTACTACTTATCCCAGAAAGGAGGTGTTTTAAAAAAGCCCTACGCCCAGTAACTTCTCCCTTCATTGTTTACTCGAAAAAAGTGCTCGTATATGTTTTCATTTGCCGAGAAATCATTTTCAAAATATATTTATAATAAAAATATGCAAGTCTTGGTGATGAAAAATGTACTCCTAATAAATTATTAAAGTACATAAAAAAATAGAAACAAATTTTATTTATTTTAAAAAAATCTCTCGCAAAGGTAGGTTCCTCTTTCTTCTTGAATCAATTATTTCGGGCAATAATGCGCCAAAGTAAAATCTGCCAAGTTTATCTGCCATCTTTTTACATATATTTCTTCGTCTTTATAAATTTTTTCTATATTTATTCCTTTGGGTGTCCATACAACAAAATAAAGTTGTGAAATACCCGCAACTAGCATTTGTTCCTGGACTTGAAAGTAGTAATCATGATTTTTTTTTTAGTTTCAATTCTCTGTCTGTCAATGTACAAAATTTGATTATTTTTTTTCTGACCGCTTCTTCGGGAACCAAATCTTGCGATTTTGAAGGGCATTTAATTTTGACTAATGCACTCCTATCCTCTAGAACCCTGTCTGGACTAGCAGCCAAGTAAGGAAATTGTTTTGAAATAAACAAGCCACACCGTTCAGTGTTTATATTTTTATTTTTTTCAAAACACTTGACAGCTTTTTTCTCACTTTGCTCTCCATAGTATGTATGACTATTACCTCTAAATGTACTGTACAACAGAGACTCCACAGTTTTAGCTATTGCCGTAGTCGGTCTAAGTTTATAAATACGTCCAAAATTGGAAGCCGTAACCCTAATTTCTCTTTCTTTTGCCCAAATGTGCCTGTTGCCTAGTGTCTATTTCAGTTTGGTCTAAATTCAAAGATAATTTTCTCAAAAAAAACCTCTTTGGCTGTCACAAATGTTTCTACATCCATGACAGGATTTTCTAAAAAATATTTAAACCATAATCGCAGTCGGGACCAGCATACATAAATTTTTTTACCACATTTTTTTTTACGAATACTTTATCTAAGACGAGCATGTTTTATAGACGAACAATATTTGTTTGTTATTAAACCAGGACCGTTTTAATCACAATATATTTACTTATCCCCTCTAAAAAATTGATGACGTCACCTCAAAATTTTACTGAATAAATCCTATCTAAATTGTATAAAATATGATGAGTCTCTTCTTGTGATTTATCATTTCATTCGTGTTTTTTGGATTTGTATATACAGGATGACCCCAAAAATTAATGAATGCGTAAATTTATTTTGTTGATTTAATCAGGAACTACAGAACCCAGTGCTTTGAAATCTAATGTGAAAAAAAAACATAATAGGCATGCAGTCGTCACGTTTCCGATAGCGAGGGAAGTACTGTCTAAACTCTCTAGACCAATTTTTTTGATTTTCCCATTTCTCCATTTCTCAATTTTTCAATGTTTCAGTTTGGGATTTTTTCACTGTTTCGATTCTGCAATTTTCTTTCCATTTTTCAGTTTTTCAAGATTTCAGTTTTGAATTTTTTCACTTTTTCGATTTTTTAATTTTCCTTCCACTTTTCAGTTTTTCAGTATTTCAGTTCTGAGATTTTGCAATGTTTCGGTTCTTCAATTTTTCCATTTTTTGATGTTTCGATTTCTCGGTTTTTCAATTTTTCGATAGGTATTTTAATTTTTCAATTTTTAAGTTCTAGATTTTCCGTTAATTTTTTTGTTTTCCTTGATGTTTTGATTTCTCGATTATTCGGTTTTTCAAGTTCTCGGTTTAGATTTTTTGGTTTTCCAATTCTTCGATTTTTAAATTGTTTAATTTTTTGATTGTTCAGTTTCTCGATTTATAGATTTTTCAATTTTTTGGTTTACCGATTTTTTTCATTTAAATGTTTCATTTTTCAATTATTAAGTTTTCGATTTTTCAATTTTGGTGTAATTTGAAAACGGTATTAATAATACATTTAGGCGAATAAACTAATAGACGGGCTTGATAAGCCTTGTTTGCTCTACAGTGTCTAAATTGTGTTTGAATAATATAATAATTATCTCGAATATTAAAATTAATACGTCAAAAGAATACGAGAAATGATTATTCTGTACTGAAGGTATGTTGTGGGCCGCCTGTCATAAATTATTATTATTATTCTGCATTATTGGGTTAGGATGTTTTTATGACCCACGTCCGGTAGTCGTCTACCCCAGCGCGTCAGGTAGATTTAAAGAAGAATTGCTGGTTGCGTTTAAGGCAACAAATGGCGCCCAATTCAAACTTGTCTCTCGTCTAGCGTTCCCCCTTAAGTGTAAATATTTTATTTAAATTCTCAACTGGGCTATTTGGTACTACATCTACATTGGAGATAACTAAAGGTAGAATTGAAATTTTCTGATGATTTAGCATTACCTTCATTTCTAAAAATCTGGATGTCTTGGGTAAAAACTCAACACGGATTCATAAACCACACGTGTAGGAGTAAGTTAATTTACAAAATTTAAAGCACATTTACTATGTTCAATTTTGAAGTGATGTCATCATATTCTTGGTGGGGATGATTACACAAAGGTCGGTTAGCGTGTTACCACAATTGATGCGGTAGTTTCTGAGATTTTCTTTGAGCAATTTTTTAAAAATGTCCTTGCAGATCAACAAAACAAAATTGGTTTGTGAGTTCACAGTGACAGAAGGAAATTTCAAAAATTTAAACTTGGTGAAAATTGTTCGCAAATATGCAACACTGCGTCCATCTCATACTTCTCACCAGAGATATCTTATAATTTATAAAAAGGGAAAATGTACTGTTCAACCAGTGGGCATCAATACATTTGGTGGGCTTCCACGTAAGATCGCAAATTTTCTGGAATTACCAAATGCAGGACAATATACTGATCACTTCTTCCGACGAACTTCAGCCTCTTTATCGGCCGACGCGGGGGCGATATGTCTGTTATAAAAAGACATGATGCCTGGAAATTATTAAACGTGGCTGAAGGATATGTGGATGATGAAATGTGATCTAATCGGCAAAAAGATTTAGTAAATGTTTTTTTAAAACAGGTTTATTTTTGTTATTCTTCCACATCTCGACAAGTTCTTCGAGTTTTGGGTTTTTATGTAGTTTCTTATTGTTTTAAAATAGTGTCAAATTTACTATTATTTGCCAAAAAAGGTTACTCCGACGCGAACTAGAGGTCTGTTGACAAAAACGGATTAAATGGCAAAAAATTATACATAAAAGATTGGTTATAAATTGTGTTCGAGTTTTTTACCAAAATTAAAGTCTGTCCAAGTACGAATGTAAAATAAACTTAAGGTTATTACTTTCATATATTTAAGACGGTAATTTCTTTGGTAATTATTATTATCACTAAACCCCTTTAATACCACGACCTTAATGAATCAATGAATTAAAACCACAAAATCTTTTTTTTTTTTAGTTGAACTATCTGACAGGTGTGCTGTATTGTAAATTTTTTGTCGATTTTTTCGTTTAATATCCCGAATCGAACAGATGCCGTTATGGGTACCGCGTCAATTGATCGCAAACAACTGATCGCAGCGTCAATTGGTCGCAGCGACAACTGGTCGCAACGACAACTGGTCGCAACGACAACTGGTCGCAACGACAACTGGTCGCAACGACAACTGGTCGCAACGACAACTGGTCGCAGTCACAATTCATCGCAACACAATTCGTCGCAAGTACAACTGGT